AAACAACAGCGGCTCAGACAGGAAGTGATCTACAGTCAGCGAGCTTTCCACAATAAAGTGTGAGGAAACATTCTGAGCTGTCGGACATTCATTTGATGAACCGGGAAGAAGTGACGCGCAGTGATGATGTCATCAGACAGGCGTTCAGGTGAATGCGCCGATGATGTCATCACATCCTGTGTATCGCAGTATTTCTACATGAATGTATTTGTGTTTTTACTCTCTCTGTGTTTCTCATCCTAAAACACGGAGCCTCGAGGCACCGCCACCTTCACGCCACCTTCACGCCACCTTCACACCACGTTCATGGTCACGCCACGTTCATGGTCACGCCACGTTCATGGTCACGCCACGTTCACGCCACGTTCATGGTCACGCCACTGCATGGTCACGCCACGTTCATGGTCACGCCACGTTGACAGCCACATTCATGGTCACGCCACGTTGACAGCCACATTCATGGTCACGCCACGTTGACAGCCACATTCATGGTCACGCCACGTTCATGGTCACGCCACGTTGACAGCCACATTCATGGTCACGCCACGTTGACAGCCACTTTCATGGTCACGCCATGTTCATGGTCACGCCACGTTGACAGCCACGTTCACGCCCACGTTCATGGTCACGCCAACTTCACGCCACGTTGACAGCCACGTTCACGCCATGGTCACGTCACGTTCATGTCAGGTTCACTCCACGTTGACGGCCACGTTCACGCCCACGTTCATGTTCATGGTCACGCCACGTTCACAGCAGGCCAGGTCCAGGTCCAGGTTCACTCTGTTGCTCTCGTGTTGTTTTTATAAACAGGTTTAAATCTGAAAGCTGTTTGTTTTCACCTGTGACATCACTTCCTGCTTGTTTAAATGTTGATTGAGTCTCGTCATCAGGTCGGCGTTGATCGGGGGGGGGGTCGGCTGAGGACGGGGAGGCTGTTGGTGCGTTTGAGGACACTCGGCCGTCTGAACGCTGATGTAGTGATGAGTTCAGACGAAGAGGACAAACAGGAGCTGATCCCGGTCTGACGGTCTGATCGGGATTCATTTCCTCTGCAGGACCCGGTCTGACTCCGGAACCGTTCTGACTCCGGAACCGTTCTGACTCTGGACCTGGTCTGAGTCCGGACCCGGTCTGAGTCCGGAACCGTTCTGACTCCGGACCCGGTCTGACCTGGAGAGCAGTTTTAGACTTTCTGAAGCTGCTCGCCGACCTCCTGTTTTCTTTGTTCACGTGTGTTTCTGCAGAGCTGCACGATCAATAATCAGCCAATCAGAAGACTTGGTGATGATCACCAAGCACACCACGGGCCCCTGACCCCGCCGGGCCCCTGACCCCGCCAGGCCCCTGACCCTGTTCTTTTGGGAATCAGCTGTAAAATAAAAACACCCTCTCTGTCCCAGCTTCTCTTCCTTGGTGGTGGGAACTAAATACTGACGCTCAGCTTTTACACCAACGAAGAAGAACTGATGTGTCAAACGTGGCTGGGACAAACAGAGCGAGCAGCTGATTGGTTGGTTGTTGTTTAGAAGAAATAAAATTCCAAACTGACTCAGAATTTCTGTGTTTGAGCTTCTTCTTCAGCGTCTTGAAATAATGAAAAATGAGCTGAGGACTGCGGCGGGGGGGCAGGTGAAGACGGCGCTGCGGGGGAGGGGGGGGCAGGTGAAGACGGCGCTGCGGGGGGGGGGCAAGTGAAGACGGCGCTGCGGGGGAGGGGGGGGGGGCAGGTGAAGACGGCGCTGCGGGGGAGGGGGGGGCAGGTGAAGACGGCAGAAGCTGCTCCAGGTTGGATTTGTCGTTGCTATGGAGAGCGCTCATGACGAGGAGCTTAATCAGACGTTTCTCTGCTGACGTCAAACAAACATTTCTCCAAAGTAACCAGATTTCCTCCACGGCTGGAATCTGAAGTTATCTCAGGATTTACCCCCCACGTCTGGAAACAGCTGCATTCAGGAGAGAGAGAGGAAAAGAGAGTAAATTTTTGGATCCCGACTGTTTAGTATCTGTTGCTGATGGAACCGTTTGACCTACATTAGACTGAAACGTTTCTCAGGCAGCACGTGATGAACTTTCTACTTTCAAACCGCTGTGCTAATACAGCGAGCTGACGGGGGCGCAACACGTCTTTAAAAAGTCTCGCAACCATCCAGCATACTTAAACCTGGGACCCCCAGCCTGAACTCCAGGGTGACCAGCAGTCCCCGTTCACATGTTGTTCACATGTTGTTCACATGTTGTTCACATGTTGGCGTGTGAGAGAGGGCAGAGCAGTGTCTGTCTGCAAGAAAAGGTCCCGGGACACCAAAGAGTAAAATATAGAAGTACTGGTCCTGCGTACTGGTCCTGCGTACTGGTCCTGCGTACTGGTGAGTACCGGCCCACTTTGAATTGGTGCCAGCTGTAGTGAACAGATGTGGGGAATGAGGTTTTTTAGTGCTGAATTTACATTTATGGATGTGAAATTTTGCCAAAAGAATTAATAAATTTAGAATGAAGTACAACTTTTCTTTACTTTGACTCTGTGGTGGTTTTGGTGGGGGGCCAACAGGGGCCAGTGCCCCTGTACCACAGACCTTGGACACCCCTATGGCCCCCCGCTGAACGAAAAGTAGAGCCCAGGGTACAGCAGCCCCATTGAACTGGCGGCCGCGGGCCACATCCGGCGGAAGCAACCTGCATGTGACCCGGTACGTGATCGACATGTTTTCACGACGTGTAGAGAATGGACGTCTCTAAAGACTCTGAGCTGTAGGTTTACTTCTCCTCAAGCACCGATCACCGCCGATCAAGGCTCAACCTGCTGACCTGCAGCCTCTCCGCTCATCTGTGTTGAGGACAGGAGGAGGACAGGAGGAGGACAGGAGGGGGAGAGGAGGAGGACAGGAGGGGGACAGTAGGGGGAGAGGAGGAGGACAGGAGGGGGACAGTAGGGGGACAGGAGGAGGACAGGAGGGGGACAGTAGGGGGACAGGAGGAGGACAGGAGGAGGACAGGAGGGGGACAGTAGGGGGACAGGAGGAGGACAGGAGGAGGACAGTAGGGGGACAGGAGGAGGACAGGAGGAGGAGAGGAGGAGGAGGAGGACAGGAGGACAGGAGGAGGAGGACAGGAGGAGGACAGGAGGAGGAGAGGAGGAGGAGGACAGGAGGAGGAGAGGAGGAGGACAGGAGGAAACAGGAGGAGGAGAGGAGGAGACAGGAGGAGGATGGGAGGAGGACGGGAGGGGGACAGGAGGAGGACGGGAGGGGGACGGGAGGGGGACAGGAGGAGAGGAGGAGGAGGAGGACAGGAGGGGGACAGTAGGGGGACAGGAGGAGGACAGGAGGAGGACAGGAGGAGAGGAGGAGGAGGAGGACAGGAGGGGGACAGTAGGAGGACAGGAGGGGGAGAGGAGGAGGACAGGAGGGGGACAGTAGGGGGACAGGAGGAGGACAGGAGGAGGACAGGAGGAGGACAGTAGGGGGACAGGAGGAGGACAGGAGGAGGAGACAGGAGGAGGAGAGGAGGAGACAGGAGGAGGATGGGAGGAGGACGGGAGGGGGACAGGAGGAGGAGACAGGAGGAGGAGAGGAGGAGACAGGAGGAGGTCCTCCTCTACTGTTCATACAAAGAAGTGTTGCATCAGAGAATGTTCTGTAACTCGAGCTAAAGAAAACAGGAAGGTTTTCTTTGTACAATGTAATTTAATAAAAGTCTAACTAAGTTACTGAAACATGACATTATACACTAAACAAGACAGTCTGAAAGCTTGAACGCTGCCTCTGACTAAACTGGCCCCAGTCCCAGCCCGGCCCCAGCCCCGGCCCCAGCCCAGCCCCAGCCCGGCCCCAGCCCGGCCCCAGCCCCAGCCCCAGCCCGGCCCCAGCCCGGCCCCAGCCCGGCCCCAGCCCGGCCCCAGCCCGGCCCCAGCCCCAGCCCCAGCCCGGCCCCAGCCCGGCCCCAGCCCCGGCCCCCTTAATAAAACTGGTGTAGAACAGCCACTGCTTTGACCTCTATAAAAGCAAAATACAACTTTCTTCCACAATAAAAGTCTATAGATATGGTCAGTGAGGAATCTGCTGAGGTTTTGTTCTGGTCTGTGAGCAAATACCAAAACACTTTCTGGGTGCTCTTCTTCTTTTTTTTATTGACAAATATTCCATATACAGAAACATGAAACGTGGCACCGAGTTGTCACGTACTGCAGAAAGCATCAAGTGCATATCAGAAGAAAAACAAGAAAGGAATTTAAATAAAAAGAAAACGGCTGGTTTTTGGTGTAAGCATTCCAGAAATAGGTTATAAAAAGGATGTAGGATTCCAGATCATATGTCGGTCTTTTGGCAGTGCTGTGGGCATTATAAACAGGAATATTCACTTATATGTAGCGACTCAGCAGCAACTCTGATTACAATTAAAGATACTAAAATGAACTCTAGACCCGATTTACTTGTTATGCAGGTGTTGTATAGAATTCACAAAGCAGGGTATGAGGTGGGGTTTGTGTGGGTACATGGGAGCGGAGGGTAATGAGGAGGCAGAAGGCGGCGCCGGAGGAAAGAGTTCAAATTAATTTACAATATGGGTTTCCGGATTACACAGAAATAATAAATAGGTCAGTGGAAGAACATATTCAGTACAAAGAACTGTAGAGAAAGGAAAATGTGCTTTCAGATGTAAGAGAAGAGAGACGGAGGTCTGCGCTGGCTCTGACTGCTCAACACCCTGACGGAAACAGTGAAGCATTATTAGTTCTTTGTAGAAACAACTCTCGCCAAAGGAGGAAACTGTTTAGAGACCTGGGAGCAACTGGAGCAACTATATTTAACACACGCTCTCTAGTTAACTTAGAGTGATGAAACTGGTTTATACAAAAGGATCCAGGCAATTAGCGTTAAGATGTGAATAACGAACAGAGGAGGCAGCGACACGCCGCGGAAACAAGAAGACGAAGAAGACGCGTCCGGCTGCTGACTGTGACGTCGTGGACCGCGTCGCTTTCACTGTACGTCATCGACGCGGCGGCGCTCTTTCTCTCCCCGTGTTAGCGTGTTAGCAGGTTAGCGGCAGCGCGGAGCGGAGTTTCACCGAGTTTCACTAAGTAAAAGCGCAGGAAAGATGGCAGCGGCCGGTACGCAGGGCAGGAAGAGGCTCCTGCGGGAGGAGGACATGACCAAGGTGGAGTTTGAGACCAGCGAGGAGGTGGATGTGACCCCCACCTTCGACACCATGGGCCTCCGGGAGGACCTGCTCCGCGGCATCTACGCTTACGGTAGGCCGGGGATCCGCGCGGCCTCCGGGGGGAGAGTTAGCTCGTCATGCTAAAGCTAACTGTTCATCCCCGAAACGTTTTAATGAGACGATTAAATAAAGTAGTTTAAACTAAGTTATTGACACGGTGTTGTTAAGGTTTTAACAGTGTAGGATTAACTCTAAAATATCTGTTATTTGTGTTACTGTTGACCACAAACTTTGGTTAGCATTAGCCGCTAACACCTGCGCAGCTGCTTCTCTGTGTAACTGAAACAGGCTTCACCGCCTCCCACACTTTATCATGTGGAGAAAAACTCTGGCTCACTTCGGCTGAGTTCTTTACACTGTTGTGATTTACGCTAGTGAAGCTAACCAGCGTTAAAGTCACCGTGTTGTTAAAGTCACCGAGTTCAGGAGGCAGCTGAAGTAGTGAGCAGACTGTTACAGGCTGAAACATGTAGAAAATGTCGGCGTGTCTCTTGTGCTTCAGGAGAACATTAAATGGCAGAAACTCAGCTGGAGTCTGGTGGGGTAGGTCGAGATGAATTAAACTTTCTGAGAGCAGGCCCGGTCCTCTTTATCCAGGGGGATGTGGTTCAGTCAGCCCCCCTGTTGTTTTCAGAGCTGCTGCAGGTGATGAACTTGTTTTATTTAACGGGGCAGGAAGCAGAACTCGCTGTAGGACTGACAGATGTGACCTTATGTGACGAAGTTTGTTTTGTGTTTCAGGTTTTGAGAAGCCGTCGGCCATCCAGCAGCGAGCCATCAAGCAGATCATCAAAGGCCGAGACGTCATCGCCCAGTAAGAACACTGAACTCAGTACAGTCCCTCTAGTGATCCCTGGCGTCCCGTAGTGATCCCTGGCGTCCCGCAGTGATCCCTGGCGTCCCGCAGTGATCCCTGGCGTCCCGCAGTGATCCCTGGCGTCCCGTAGTGATCCCTGGCGTCCCGCAGTGATCCCCGGCGTCCCGTAGTGAGTCCTGTAGTGATCCCTGGCGTCCCGCAGTGATCCCCGGCGTCCCGTAGTGAGTCCTGTAGTGATCCCTGGCGTCCTGTAGTGAGTCCCCGTAGTGAGTCCCCGTAGTGAGTCCCCGTAGTGAGTCCCCGCAGTGATCCCCGGCGTCCCGTAGTGAGTCCTGCAGTGATCCCCGGCGCCCCGTAGTGAGTCCCCGTAGTGAGTCCCTCGGCGTCCCGCAGTGCTCCCCATAGTGAGTCCCCGTAGTGAGTCCCTCGGCGTCCCGCAGTGCTCCCCGTAGTGAGTCCCCGTAGTGAGTCCCTCGGCGTCCCGCAGTGCTCCCCGTAGTGAGTCCCTCGGCGTCCCGCAGTGCTCCCCGTAGTGAGTCCCCGTAGTGAGTCCCTCGGCGTCCCGCAGTGATCCCCGGCGTCCCGTAGTGAGTCCTGTAGTGATCCCTGGCGTCCTGTAGTGAGTCCCCGTAGTGAGTCCCCGTAGTGAGTCCCCGTAGTGAGTCCCCGCAGTGATCCCCGGCGTCCCGTAGTGAGTCCTGCAGTGATCCCCGGCGCCCCGTAGTGAGTCCCCGTAGTGAGTCCCTCGGCGTCCCGCAGTGCTCCCCGTAGTGAGTCCCCGTAGTGAGTCCCTCGGCGTCCCGCAGTGCTCCCCGTAGTGAGTCCCTCGGCGTCCCGCAGTGCTCCCCGTAGTGCTCCCCGTAGTGAGTCCCTCGGCGTCCCGCAGTGCTCCCCGTAGTGAGTCCCCATAGTGAGTCCCTCGGCGTCCCGCAGTGCTCCCCGTAGTGAGTCCCCGTAGTGAGTCCCTCGGCGTCCCGTAGTGCTCCCCGTAGTGAGTCCCCGTAGTGCTCCCCGTAGTGAGTCCCCGTAGTGAGTCCCTCGGCGTCCCGTAGTGCTCCCCGTAGTGAGTCCCCGTAGTGAGTCCCTCGGCGTCCCGCAGTGCTCCTCGTAGTGAGTCCCTCGGCGTCCCGCAGTGCTCCCCGTAGTGAGTCCCTCGGCGTCCCCGTAGTGAGTCCCCGTAGTGCTCCCCGTAGTGAGTCCCCGTAGTGAGTCCCTCGGCGTCCCGCAGTGCTCCCCGTAGTGAGTCCCTCGGCGTCCCGCAGTGCTCCTCGTAGTGAGTCCCTCGGCGTCCCGCAGTGCTCCCCGTAGTGAGTCCCTCGGCGTCCCCGTAGTGAGTCCCCGTAGTGCTCCCCGTAGTGAGTCCCCGTAGTGAGTCCCTCGGTGTCCCGCAGTGCTCCCCGTAGTGAGTCCCTCGGCGTCCCGCAGTGCTCCCCGTAGTGAGTCCCTCGGCGTCCCGCAGTAGTCCCCGTAGTGAGTCCCCGTAGTGAGTCCCTCGGCGTCCCGCAGTAGTCCCCGTAGTGAGTCCCCGTAGTGAGTCCCCGTAGTGAGTCCCTCGGCGTCCCGCAGTAGTCCCCGTAGTGAGTCCCCGTAGTGAGTCCCTCGGCGTCCCGTAGTGAGTCCCCGTAGTGAGTCCCCGTAGTGAGTCCCCGTAGTGAGTCCCTCGGCGTCCCGCAGTGCTCCCCGCAGTGCTCCCCGTAGTGAGTCCCCGTAGTGCTCCCCGTAGTGAGTCCCCGTAGTGAGTCCCTCGGCGTCCCGCAGTGCTCCCCGTAGTGAGTCCCTCGGCGTCCCGCAGTGCTCCCCGTAGTGAGTCCCTCGGCGTCCCGCAGTGCTCCCCGTAGTGAGTCCCCGTAGTGCTCCCCGTAGTGAGTCCCCGTAGTGAGTCCCTCGGCGTCCCGCAGTGCTCCCCGTAGTGAGTCCCTCGGCGTCCCGCAGTGCTCCCCGTAGTGAGTCCCTCGGCGTCCCGCAGTGCTCCCCGCAGTGCTCCCCGTAGTGAGTCCCCGTAGTGAGTCCCTCGGCGTCCCGCAGTGCTCCCCGCAGTGCTCCCCCTAGTGAGTCCCCGTAGTGAGTCCCTCGGCGTCCCGCAGTGCTCCCCGTAGTGAGTCCCCGTAGTGCTCCCCGTAGTGCTCCCCGTAGTGAGTCCCCGTAGTGAGTCCCTCGGCGTCCCGCAGTGCTCCCCGTAGTGAGTCCCTCGGCGTCCCGCAGTGCTCCCCGTAGTGAGTCCCTCGGCGTCCCGTAGTGAGTCCCCGTAGTGAGTCCCTCGGCGTCCCGCAGTGCTCCCCGTAGTGAGTCCCCGTAGTGCTCCCCGTAGTGAGTCCCTCGGCGTCCCGCAGTGCTCCCCGTAGTGAGTCCCCGCAGTGCTCCCCGCAGTGCTCCCCGTAGTGAGTCCCCGTAGTGAGTCCCCGTAGTGAGTCCCTCGGCGTCCCGCAGTGCTCCCCGTAGTGAGTCCCTCGGCGTCCCGCAGTGCTCCCCGTAGTGAGTCCCCGTAGTGAGTCCCCGTAGTGAGTCCCTCGGCGTCCCGCAGTGCTCCCCGTAGTGAGTCCCTCGGCGTCCCGCAGTGCTCCCCGTAGTGCTCCCCGTAGTGAGTCCCTCGGCGTCCCGCAGTGCTCCCCGTAGTGAGTCCCTCGGCGTCCCGCAGTGCTCCCCTGATGTTGTTTAACAGCTGCTCTCTGCTGTGTTCAGGTCTCAGTCTGGAACAGGAAAGACCGCCACCTTCTGTGTGTCGGTGCTGCAGTGTCTCGACATCCAGGTCAGTGTTCACGTTAAGGTTTCAGGGGGTTCACCTGTGCAGGTGTTGGCGTGATGACATCATGCTGTGATGTGTTTCCTGTCTGCAGGTGAGGGAGACCCAGGCTCTGATCCTCGCTCCAACCAGAGAGCTGGCGGGACAAATTCAGAAGGTAGTCCCGCCCACGCCATCACACCCGGCCGGTCAGCGGTGAGGTATTGTCCTGGTTTCTGATTGGCTGTGTGTCCTGTGTGTCCAGGTGCTGCTCGCTCTGGGAGACTACATGAACGTCCAGTGTCACGCCTGCATCGGGGGAACCAACGTGGGCGAGGACATCAGGAAGCTGGACTACGGTCAGCACGTGGTGTCCGGGACGCCCGGGCGGGTGTTTGGTGAGTTTAACCGCACACGCGCTTCCTGATGTCAGACCTGGAAAACCTGGAATAAGAGGCTGACGTTTGTTTGTGTGTTTTTCTGCAGACATGATTCGCCGCAGGAGTCTGAGGACGAGAGCCATCAAGATGCTGGTCCTGGACGAAGCCGACGAGATGCTCAACAAAGGTGAGACTGAGCACGTGCAGGTGTGATGTCACCTGGCGGCTTCACTCCTGTTGGTCAGGTGATCTTAACAGAGGGCTGCCAGAAACATCGATCACTACTGAGAAATGTCGGCCCGCTGCTTTCGTCTTACCGACTTGTCCGTTGTTGTGGAAACCGAAGTGTTCCCAAAAATGAGACCTTAACAATAAGGGAGGGTCTTAAAGCGCAGGCTTCTCTGCGCCGGCCACACTTTACTGGCTAAAGCGTGCAGCGCCGCAAGGCGGAGATTTGGTCCGCCATTTAATGTCTGTGTGGAAACTCAGAATTTACGTATGTTCCACACAAAACAAGCCTAATATATGACGTTAGAGACTTCCTGTACCGGAAAGGTCCGCTGTGAATACGTCTCTTAAAATGACCAAAAACTGAATGGAGTCTGGTGCAGAGGCCTTTAAGCAGCGATGGCTGATGCAGGACTGTTTTAGGGATTTGTAGGATGGAGAATTTCAAAACTCCTCCTGGGCTCCTCCTCTTCCTTCCTCTTCCTCCTCCTGGGGTCCTTCTCCTCTTCCTCCTCCTCTTCCTCATCCCTCTTCCTCCTCCTGGGCTCCTCCTCCTCTTCTTCCTCCTTCCTCTTCCTCCTCCCTCTTCCTCCTCTTCCTCCTGGGCTCCTCCTCCTCTTCTTCCTCCTTCCTCTTCCTCCTCCCTCTTCCTCCTCCCTCTTCCTCCTCTTCTTCCTGGGCTCCTCCTCCTCTTCTTCCTCCTCCTTCCTCTTCCTCCTCCCTCTTCCTCCTCCCTCTTCCTCCTCCCTCTTCCTCCTCTTCCTCCTGGGCTCCTCCTCCTCTTCTTCCTCCTTCCTCTTCCTCCTTCCTCTTCCTCCTCCCTCTTCCTCCTCTTCTTCCTGGGCTCCTCCTCCTCTTCTTCCTCCTCCTTCCTCTTCCTCCTGGGCTCCTCCTCCTCTTCCTCCTCCTCCTGGTTTAGCTGTGACCCAGCTGTAACGTGGCCCTGCAGACGGTCTGTGCTGGTCTCACCGGTCTTCTTACCTGTTACTTGTTCAGGGTTTAAGGAGCAGATCTACGACGTGTACCGTTACCTGCCTCCGGCCACACAGGTGGTTCTGATCAGCGCCACGCTGCCGCACGAGATCCTGGAGATGACCAACAAGTTCATGACAGACCCGATCCGCATCCTGGTCAAACGGTGAGTCCGCCAGCAGCGCCCAGCCGGTCCTCATGAACCTGCCTGGCACAGTCCAGAAGCTCTGTTCTGAAGTCCCCCCCCTTTGTCTCCCCCCTCAGTGACGAGCTGACCCTGGAGGGCATCAAGCAGTTCTTCGTGGCGGTGGAGAGGGAGGAGTGGAAGTTTGACACTCTGTGCGATCTGTACGACACGCTGACCATCACTCAGGCCGTCATCTTCTGCAACACCAAGAGGAAGGTGAGAGCGAGAGAGAGTTGAACGTGCTGAGACCTTCAGAGCTCAGCTCCCTGACCCGATGGTTCCCCTTCGGACCGTCTGACAGAACCAGAACCGGACTGAGCGGGTCTGTGCTTGTGTTTCAGGTGGACTGGCTGACGGAGAAGATGAGGGAGGCCAACTTCACGGTGTCGTCGATGCACGGAGACATGCCTCAGAAAGAGAGGGAGTCCATCATGAAGGAGTTCAGATCAGGAGCCAGGTAACGGAGCAGGTCCTGAGCCAGACCGGGACCCTGCAGTCAAGCAGCAGCAGCTTCATTTCCCTGCTGCTGGACCCGTGTGTAAATGCTCCACCTGCTGTACTGTACTGGTTCTGAACTGGACTCTGAGCTGCTCCTGTGTGTTTCAGCCGGGTCCTGATCTCCACCGACGTCTGGGCTCGAGGTTTGGACGTCCCTCAGGTGTCTCTGATCATCAACTACGACCTGCCGAACAACAGAGAGCTCTACATCCACAGGTACGCTGACAGGAAGTGGCGCCGGGGGGTCAGAGCTCATGTAGACAGAAGAAACGTAATGAGCTCTGTTACTATGACAACAGTGAACAGATGCTGACGTCAGCACAGGGTCTCCGGGGTGATTCTGCGTAGCGTTGGGCGCAGGGATCTACCGTGCGCTCTTATACGCCCCTAAAAATAGATCTGTGCGAACCGACCGTAACCCTCCGCCACGCCGGGATTTCCCCGGTGCACCGGCCGCCCTGAGGCCGCCTGAACATCCCCGTTACAACAACGTGGAGCGATGACTGACGAGTTTGTAGCCTGCTTACAATGAACAAAGTGAACCAGCTGAAACTGGAATTAATGAAGTGGTGGGAAGCTGCAAACTTTACTATTATTTATTTTTATGTGTTTAATATGACATTAAAAAGAACAGAACTGTAACTAATATATTAACATCAAACAGTTTCCTGCCTTTGTTAAAATGCTACAACTCTCGTGGACACTGGCTCCTCCGCACGGTGGACAGGTGGAGATTTGACCAGAGCGTAGGAAGGCTTCAGACTGTAACTGCTCGCGTTACCTAGTTTGAACCAACCGCAAAATCTCACTGCGTTTCTGGCGATTTGCAGTAATGTTGTGCACGTCGCAGCCTTCGTAAGACGGCTGCTGGTAACAGCTGAACTGAGGCGACGGCGAGATGAAGCCTCACGAAGCATCGAAGCTTTCCGTCCAGTCGGTTCACTGAAGCTTCACGGTGCTTCATTTGCTCCACTGGGCCATCAAACAGTGATCGTAACGGCGCCACGGCTTTGGTGAATGAATGAATGATGTTTGATGAACGTATTAATCTGGCGTCTGTCTTTATGTTGTAGCGACCGGGTCAAAGGGAAAGTGGAAACGAGGCAGAGGGCTGTGATGTGAATGTTAAAGCCCCAGTTTAATTCTTACAGAAACCACAAGTCTAAGCGAACAACTCGTCCCGTTTCATCACGATCTCTGATAAAATCAGCTGTGTTCAATAAAAACCATCAGTCCAGAAAATGTTAACGAGGGTCCGATGTGTTTTGCTCCTCCTTTCGATTTGAACAGCAAACCCGCGAACCGTTTCCTGATGATCCTGTCGGGACGTGTAAAGTTCTTTTGCCTCCTCGTGTGTTAATGTGTGCGGCGTCTCTCTCGCCGTGGGAACGCTGAACTTCAGGATCTCAGAGTGAAACGTCTTTAAGGAGGAGCAGGAAGGAGAGTTTGACCATCTTAAATATCTGAAACAACTCGTGACTTGGGGCTGGACGATTCAGCAGCTCTGCCTGACGTAACGTTACCGTGTGCACGCCGTGTGCACGCCGTGTGCACGCCGTGTGTGTTCCTGGACTTCCCCGCGCTGAGATCGATCTCTGGGTCACAGGATCAGGAGGCGGATCTGTCGGGGCCCAGAGTCTCCTCCGGGTTAAACTAACGCTATGGGTGGTGACGGTGCAGTGGATAAGACGCACGCCCTCAGTGCGGGAGATCTGGGTTCGATTCCCACCGTGACACGTCCACCAATGTGTCCCCTAGTGAGATACTGAACCCCTCGTGTGTCCAGAGGCGTGCGACCTCTGACCTCTACAGCCGCTGTCCGTCGCTTTGGATAAAAGCTTCAGCTCAATGGAAAGAAATTCTTCTTCTACTGAATACTGTTGAGAATCTCGCCATCTCCGGTCAGCCGCCGTCTTTAATCATCTGTAGGTGTTTATTAGAAATGAGCTTCAAGCTGTGTCTGTGGTTAAATGTGGGGGGCGGGGCCAGTAGGTCGAGTGTAACGACGTGATCTCTGACCCCCTCCAGGATTGGCCGATCCGGTCGTTATGGCCGTAAGGGCGTGGCCATCAACTTTGTGAAGAACGACGACATCAGGATCCTGCGGGACATCGAGCAGTACTACTCCACCCAGATCGACGAGATGCCCATGAACGGTACGAGCCGACCAATCGCACACGCCGCTGGGTTCAGTCTCAGCCAATCAGAACGAGGCAGTCTCACTTCCTGCTGAGGAGACAAACTGATAAGTTCTTACTGACGAGTCCGACAGCAGGAAGGCGGGGCTCGCCATCTGTCCCCGCAAGACGCTCAGAGGGAACCTGATCTACATTTATCTGAATAATACTGACGCGTTGCAGTACTCACTGATGTCAGTACTCAGTCTCAGTACTCACTGATGTCAGTACTCAGTCTCAGTACTCACTGATGTCAGTACTCACTGATGTCAGTACTCAGTCTCAGTACTCACTGATGTCAGTACTCAGTGTCAGTACTCAGTCTCAGTACTCACTGATGTCAGTACTCAGTCTCAGTACTCACTGATGTCAGTACTCAGTCTCAGTACTCACTGATGTCAGTACTGCAACACGTCAGTACTCACTGATGTCAGTACTCTGTCTCAGTACTCACTGATGTCAGTACTGCAACACGTCAGTACTCACTGATGTCAGTACTCACTGATGTCAGTACTCACTGATGTCAGTACTCAGTCTCAGTACTCACTGATGTCAGTACTCAGTCTCAGTACTCACTGATGTCAGTACTGCAACACGTCAGTACTCACTGATGTCAGTACTCAGTCTCAGTACTCACTGATGTCAGTACTGCAACACGTCAGTACTCACTGATGTCAGTACTGCAACACGTCAGTACTCACTGATGTCAGTACTGCAACACGTCAGTACTCACTGATGTCAGTACTGCAACACGTCAGTACTCACTGATGTCAGTACTGCAACACGTCAGTACTCACTGATGTCAGTACTCAGTCTCAGTACTCACTGATGTCAGTACTGCAACACGTCAGTACTCACTGATGTCAGTACTCAGTCTCAGTACTCACTGATGTCAGTACTGCAACACGTCAGTACTCAGTGTCAGTACTGCAACACGTCAGTACTCAGTCTCAGTACTGCAACACGTCAGTACTCAGTCTCAGTACTCGCTGATGTCAGTACTGCAACACGTCAGTACTCGCTGATGTCAGTACTCAGTCTCAGTACTCGCTGATGTCAGTACTCAGTCTCAGTACTCGCTGATGTCAGTACTCAGTCTCAGTACTCGCTGATGTCAGTACTCAGTCTCAGTACTCGCTGATGTCAGTACTCAGTCTCAGTACTCGCTGATGTCAGTACTCAGTCTCAGTACTCAGTCTCAGTACTCAGTCTCAGTACTCAGTCTCAGTACTCACTGATGTCAGTACTGCAACACGTCAGTACTCGCTGATGTCAGTACTCAGTCTCAGTACTCAGTCTCAGTACTCGCTGATGTCAGTACTCAGTCTCAGTACTCAGTCTCAGTACTCGCTGATGTCAGTACTCGCTGATGTCAGTACTCAGTCTCAGTACTCAGTCTCAGTACTCACTGATGTCAGTACTCGGGTTTCTTCTGGATCCGCTGCATCATCAGAACTGGTCGGTATTGACTGACCCTGCGCTGCACGCTTCCTGTGATTGGCTGACATGTTTGTTCTCTGTCTGCAGTGGCCGACCTGATCTGATGTCACCTGGACGACGTCACACGGAGCCCCGCCCCTTTTTACCTGTGTTGCTTTCTGTTTTTATTTTTGGATGTTTTAGGGTGTTTTGATCTGGTAGAGACGAGCGAAAGGCTGCAGACCCGTTTTTGTAAATAAAGTTGTTTTGGTTCCACGTCAGCCTGTTCTCGTCTGTTCTGAAACGGAACGTCCCATTTGGGTCGTACAGGGTTACCATGGCGGCGTCACAGGAGAGCAGCTGGACGGCTCATCGATGACCAACAGTGTTTCTGATGTTGATCAGCGAATGAACGGAGCGTACCTGAACACGGCGTCGGTCAGCAACCAAACGCCTCACGGCGAAGGTTTGTTTTACCCTGGGTTTCGCCGCTCAGGGTTAAAACCCAAAATGTTCAAAGCTGATGTCACACAGACGGTCGTCACTTTGATTTCAGATTTTATTTTAATATTTTATACACAAATGTTGGAACAGAAGGAAACCATAAAAAAAAAACAGTAAGAATATTAAAATTCAAACAGGCACCAAAAATCACAGAGCTGATTGATTTTAAACTGATTTCACATCAAATCACAAAGACAGGAGGGAAACCACGTAACCGCCAGTTCACAACAAAACCCACAGACTCTTAAACAATTTAAATATTTAATCCACCACCATCCTTTTACTCTGAAACCTTTACAAGTCACTTCCTGTCGGACTGCGGCTTCGTTGTTTTACTCTGAAACGTTTACAAGTCACTTCCTGTCGGACTGCGGCTTCGTTGTTTTACTCTGAAACGTTTACAAGTCACTTCCTGTCGGACTGCGGCTTCATTGTTTTACTCTGAAACCTTTACAAGTCACTTCCTGTTGGGCAGACTGTGTCACGCTGTGCAGCTGTTCCTGGTCATGTTCTGCTACCTGGCGGGAGGACGGTGCTGTGAAAGAGGACGTTCCTCCTGATTTAACGTTCCCTCCCTGTGTGGTTCGGATAGTTTGTCTCTTAATGATGAGGTCACCTTTTAAAAGCTGCGTCTTGTTTTTACTCAGTTTTCAGATATTAAAAATAGTCCCCCCCCCACTACAGAGCGGGCTCTGGCACCAGATGACGTCACCAGCACAAGATGGCGGCGACAGGATATTTTGGCTTTATTTTGTACAGTGGGAGGAAATGGAGATGCGGCGGCCATCTTTATTTACAGTTAGTTTCCTGTCTGACTCGCAGGTCGAGAAGAGTCCAGCTGCAGCCGCAGACAGACGTGACTGAAGTTCAACTTCCATATATGGTTTGTCCCAGAAGCCATCGCGCACAAAATGTGATGGCGTTTACCTCGACCGCTCGGCCCACGCAGAGCCGTTAAATTAAAAAAGAGCTGTTAAAAAAATGTGTCAACGTAGTAATCGGTGTACGTTATGTGTTAATATTTACTATACGATAGTTATATATTAATATAGTATGTTTATACTATAATTCCTGCACATTTTTATTTATAATAGCCAAATAATAATAGAGCAATGTTTCAATTAATACCACTGTAAGTTTCAAAGACCAAGAATATTGTGTAGCGTTACATCACGAGCCAGTTGTGTCTCGATTTAGGTTAAAACTTTACAACATTTCTGAGACGTTAATGACAGAATAGCGGTTCGAACATTAACAGCATCGTCCAGCGGTTGCTGGACTCGTCTTTGCTGCAGTGGTCTGTGCGACTGGACCTGGGGGAGATAACCGGAGCTAGCTGGCTAACTATTCCTGACAGCCCCCCCGAGTGTTTTCCTCACCCTAACCATCACCACCTGTTGCTGCGCAGCCTCCGCTGGCGTTACTGCAGCTGTATAACACCCGTCGGCACTTGCGGAGCTTCTGAACTTTCGCCGCCAATTTTTGTAAAACTGCCGATATTCGAAATCTACACAGTAGATTTCTCGTCTCAAAACTTCTCAGAAGTATATTAAAGTTCTGTTGCTGGCCTCTAAAGAATAAAACGGTCTGCATCAGGATCTATCCTGTACGTGAGCCGAGATTAACGTCATCACGTTTTGTGCGCGGTGGCTTCTGGGACAAACCAGATTTGGAAGTTCGACTTGCGTCAGGTGACTTGCGTCAGGTGTGCGGGCTGCAGCTGGATGTACTTGCGCAGGTTTGGAGAAGGTATCAGGGGATTACGTTTACAGTGTTATCGATCGGACCGTGAACTCATGACCTGCATTGGAAAGTGCGGGAAAACCTGGTCTGCTGAGAACGTCCGATTGGTCGGATTACAGCCAATCAAGACGGAAGCTTGACAAAATAGTGATGTATTTGCTGTTGCTATGACACGGGCAGTGTGAACCAATGGGAGGACAGTCAGTGAGGAGGGGCGGGGCTTAGTGTCACTATGCAAACAACAAAGCAACCAATCACAGGAGGAGGAGGAGGTGGCGCTGGAGCAGAGGATGATGGGAAGGCGTCTACAGGTTGCGTCTGATGAACCAGATCTCATTCCTGCGGCGGGGCACGCTGGGGTTCTCGTACACGGCAACCATGTAGTCGCGGCTGCTGACTTCGTCTGTGACCCCGAGGATCTCCCACAGCAGGCCGATCTGACGGCCGACCGTCTCCTCCGTGGTCGTCCCGAAGAACACCCTGACAGCCAATCAGAGAGCAGAGCATCATCTCACACGCCAGTCTGACACCTGTGCGCCTTCGCAATGAGGTCACAGCAGACAGACTGCAGAGACGCTCGTTAAACATTCTGGTAACTACAGCAACAGATGGTTTTATCTCTCATCAGCAACACCTGACGGCATCTGTTCTAAAGATCAGCTGATCAATAACACCTGACTGATACTGGAAGTCGCGCTGCGTTCAGGGACAGTGGGGATTCCTGCAGGTTAAACTCAGCTCTGACTGAAGCGCCATGTTAATGAAGCGGAGGGTGTTCTCACCTGGAGATGACTCTGATTGGCTCTCTGTGGACGATGGTGATGTCACTGTCAAAGGGTTGGGGGGGGTTGGCCTGGTAGTCGGCGGGCAGGAAGAACGCTGTCTCCACGTCTTTCTGAAACGTCACACCGTCCTCCATCATGTGGATGTTACTTATCACTGGCACTGTCATCCCCAGGTACCTGCCTATACACGATCAATATGTCAGTGGGAGGAGCTACCTGAGGTGTGCTGTGGGTGGGGGGGGCTACCTGAGGTGTGCTGTGGGTGGGAGGGGCTAACAGAGTGTGACGGCGGAGTCTGACCTGCAGAATTCTCTTTGCAGATGAAGCGCATCAGCTTCATGAAGCCCATGGAGATGCTCTGCTCGTACAGGTCTTCTCGTCGGGTCACGCAGGCCCAGTTCCCTGCCGGGTAGACCCGCTCCTCGTACAGAACCTCGCCCATCTGCAGACACACGTTCATTATTTATTTAAATCCGGCGGCGGACAGCTGGTTCAGAGAAGATGAATTTAGTTTTGACTGGAGCAGGACTTGATGGTTAACGGTATCAAAGCTCTTTCCAGGTCCAGATAAACTAAATTAACTAAAATGAATTTGGTTAGTTTTCTTGAAAAGAAGATTTCTGATCAGACCGATGAAGAGGATGGAGGTTTTGATCCATTGATCTGATTGGTCAGTAGGACTGGTGACCCTTTGTCAACATGCAGCACAGGTGAGCCAGCTTCATGACACCTGGATCAAACCCTGCTGCTGACTGCTGGTCTGGTCTGTGGCGGTCTTTACCTTCTCATGGCAGGACACGGGGACGAAGGGGAGGGGCTCCCTCTGCTGGCTGTTGCGTGTCATTTCCTGTATGGGTCCGGTCATCTCTGCAACAGACAGACAGGTGTGCTGATGTCACCTTAGACACTTTCAGGTTCATTGATCCTAATGACATCACCTGACAACGACGTCATCAAAGATGTAGAAGAAGAGGTCTGAGGAGCAGCTGATGAAGAAACACTCGATGCTTAACAGCTGGCCCGGGTACTGGCCCCCCCAACCCCTCCCCTCACCTGGAGGAACCGACACCTGGTGGGTACTGGCGACCGCCTGCCAGTGTGTCAGCAGTCGGTCATCTCCATCCATTGGTTCGGGGTTGTCTGTGATGTCATCGTCCAGCTGCTCGTCGTCCAATCCGTCGAGGTCTTCCAAAGAGATCAGAGCCATCACTGTTGGGGGAGGAGCCGACCTTTGACCTGCAGAGTATTTCTTATTCCTGTAACACACACACAGAAACACACCTGTTCACCTGTCCTGAGGTCTGATCACTGTTCCTGCACACACACACTGCCAGTGTTTCAGAACTCCATTTTTTTTAGTTCTTCTATAAATCTAAGACGTCCAGGTCCAGTGAAACACCTGAAACGGGACAAAAGTAAAACTTTCATCTCCTTCCTCTGCTGCAGAATAACCAGAGACACAAAGACAACGCTCAGCTCACACAAACTGAGAAACCAAGTAAATTCAGAGATAAACAGTTTTCAGGGATCAACAACGAGTTAATGTGGTGATGGTACAGTGGACTGGACGCATGCCTTTGGTGTTCAGGTGACCTCTGGCATTTTCACCAACTGTAAGTCGCTTTAATAAAAAAAGCCTCAGCTAAATGAGTAAAAGTAAATTTTCTTAACGGCTTCAGCCTATTCTGCAGCAGAGGAACCCGTTTCTACAGTGACACCTTGAACAGCCCGTTGATACACACAGAGGCTTTATGTGGGCCGTATTGTATCTAATTTTCACTGGACCTGAACTACGTAGATTTGCAGAAGAACTACAAACATGGAGGCATCCTGAAGAGCCTGTAGTGTATGATTATGTTTTATAGTAACGAACGGACAGCAGGTGTTTCTGCTGAGATGTCTAATGAACTGAAAAACATCATGAACTTAGACAAACCGTCACATTATTATTACAATAAATATCTGATCCTGTTCAGCCTTTGCTTCCAGATCCGGGATGCTGCTGCCTGCTGGTCCTGGATCAGCGTAGAGGTACTTTTTACTATTGGTGTACTTTTACTCAGGTATAACTTAGTAATAAGTAATAATGGACTGATGATCAGCTGCTGCTGGTTTGGATCAGCTGACTCTGAATTACTGATGATTTAACTGATGTCTGGTTTGATTGACGGCTCTGGTGGGTGGAAGTCTTTTAATTTGATCAGTCAGACTTCCTGAAGACAAACTCTTTATTTACTTTGTTTTATTTTGATGTAACTGAAGTTTAATTATAAAACCTGTCCGGATCACCTGGAGGTTTTCCTGAATCCACACTGATCCGTATCACTGCTGTCTGCTCGAACCTGAAGGACCCGGACTTTCCTAGAACCTCTACAGATTCATTAAACAGGTAAATGTGGCATAAAGTGTCTTCGGTGTAAACCGGTTCAGGTCCGGCACCGGACCGCGGTGCCGCTGGACCCGCCGGCAGTCTGCTTAGCCCCGGGAGGGAAACTAGGTCAACCCGGGACCCTGTCCAAACAAACGAGCACAGGCCGCTGATCCTTTTCAGACCGACTCGGGTTAGACAGAACTACCAGCTTGACCAACAGGACCACAGCGGACCCGCTTCAGATACAGCAGGGACCAGAAGTGGACTGGGTTTACTTGGCACGGCAAAGTTAGCACGGTTAGCATGCAGATTCCTCTCTACGTTAGCCTGGTTAGCACAGTTTGTCTGGACCGGGTCCGAACAGTCATCTAGCAAGTGTTTATCTCACCTGGTTCCGGTCGCACCTGTCCGCCAGGTGAGTGTACAGCTGCTGAGACCGTCCGCCAATCACAACAACAACAACAACAACAACAACAAACCCGGCTCGTGTCGAGACGGCAAACCTGGAGCTGAGAAACTCTCGCACATGCGCACTGGATTCAACACACACAGACACACACACACACAGAGCGGCGCTGGACTGCGCACGCGCCAGCAGGTAAACCGTCCGTATCCGGTCCCGACGCCCGCAGACGGGCCCGGGTCCCGGTCGTGGGTCCCACAGGGTCCCCCCTCCCCTGAATGAGCTTGTTAACTTATTAATCTAATTAGAAAAAAGAACTAATAATAAATGTGCCTATTTACTGTCTTTAGAAACCAAATCCGGATCCTGCTGCCTTCAGAATTTTTTTTAATTTATTTGTAAGTGATACTTCTGTTTATATATATTGACTTATATTGGGATTTATTTCCAGTACACCTATGTTATCTGTATTTTCTCGTGCGCGTGACATCTCGCCGAGGTTTAAATGCATAATTAGTGAGCTCATATTGTATTATGATGCCTAATGATTCATCCTGTGAATTAAATAAACATCTATATTAATGTATGTTGTCTGCTACGTAGCAGAAGGGAGTTACAAACTCGATTTCACTCTATAACCTGTTGAGCGGCCCGCTGAATGACGTCACTGCAATGTTTTAGTCAGAGACATTATACAAATACACACCAGATAAAATTTAGAAACAAACGTTTTCATCAGGGAGCAAACAACTGCAGAAAAAGTGATGAAGACATGTAGAGAAATAAATTCATTACAAAACGAAAGACTTGAAGATAAAGTCACTGATCACTGATTACACTTTAGTACCCGTCTATATTTCTGTTATTGTTTATTAGGGAAAATACCTGAGAAGGGACTGAAAGTCCACTGATAAGAGAGTTGAGATCCAAAGAAGTTCTGCTTCTGAATGAAAAATGTTCCCAGTAAAACAAAAAGTTAAGAACATTATTTAGAGACGAATCTTTATTGTTGTCATAGCAACATGTTACATCTGTTAGAGAAATGTTTGAGTGACCGACGAGTTAAATCAGACCAAAGTTTCTTTGTGGATCCACACTGAGTCCACAAAAGTCTGGATAGACCCGAATTTAGATTTTAAATGAATTTCTTTTATCCGGTTAAAGAATCTCAGTTAACTCATGTCCCGGTTCTGTCATAGTCCTGTGTCTTAGTTAATTCCCTGGTTCGGTCTTAGGTCTTAGTGCTTAGTCCTGTGTCTTAGTTCATGTCCTGGTTCTGTCTTAGGTCTAAGTCCTGTGTCTTAGTGCTTAGTCCTGTCTTAGTTCATGTCCCGGTTCGGTCTTAGGTCTTAGTGCTTAGTCCTGTGTCTTAGTTCATGTCCTGGTTCTGTCTTAGGTCTAAGTCCTGTGTCTTAGTGCTTAGTCCTGTGTCTTAGTTCATGTCCCGGTTCTGTCTTAGTGCTTAGTCCTGTGTCTTAGTTCATGTCCCGGTTCTGTCTTAGTGCTTAGTCCTGTGTCTTAGTTCATGTCCTGGTTCTGTCTTAGTGCTTAGTCCTTTGTCTTAGTTCACGTTCTGTCTTAGTGCTTAGTCCTGTGTCTTAGTTCATGTCCCGGTTCTGTCTTAGTGCTTAGTCAAGTGTCTTAGTTTATTTCCCGGTTCTGTCTTAGGTCTTAGTCCTGTATCTTAGTTCATGTCCCGGTTCTGACTTAGTGCTTAGTCCTGTGTCTTAGTTCATGTCCCTGTTCTGTCTTAGTCCTGTGTCTTAGCTCATGTCCCTGTTCTGTCTTAGTGCTTAGTCCTGTGTTTTAGTTCATGTCCCGGTTCTGTCTTAGTCCTGTGTCTTAGCTCATGTCCCTGTTCTGTCTTAGTGCTTAGTCCTGTGTCTTAGTTCATGTCCCGGTTCTGTCTTAGGTCTTAGTCCTGTGTCTTAGTTCATGTTCCAGTTCTGTCTTAGTGTTTAGTCTTAGGTCTTAGTTCATGTCCCGGATCTGTCTTAGTGCTTAGTCCTGTGTCTTTGCTCATGGTCTGACTTAGTGCTTAGTCCTGTGTCTTAGTTCATGTCCCTGTTCTGTCCTAGGTCTTAGTCCTGTGTCTTAGTTCATGTTCTGTCTTAGTGCTTAGTCCTGTGTCTTAGTTCATGTCCCGGTTCCGTCTAAGTTCTTAGTCCTGTATCTTAGTTCATGTCCCAGATCTGTCTTAGTCCTGTGTCTTAGTGCTTAGTCCTGTATCTTAGTTCATGTCCCAGTTCTGTGTCTTAGTTCATGTCCCGGTTCTGTCTTAGGTCTTGGTCCTGTGTCTTAGTTCATGTCCCGGTTCTGTCTTAGGGCTTGGTCCTGTATCTTAGTTCATGTCCCGGATCTGTCTTAGTCCTGTGTGTTAGTTCATGTCCTGTCTTAGGTCTTAGTCCTGTGTCTTAGCGCTTAGTCCTGTATCTTAGTTCATGTCCCGGTTCTGTGTCTTAGTTCATGTCCCGGTTCTGTCTTAGTGCTTAGTCCTGTGTCTTAGTTCATGTCCCGGTTCTGTCTTAGGTCTTGGTCCTGTGTCTTAGTGCTTAGTCCTGTGTCTTAGTTCATGTCCCGGTTCTGTCTTAGGTCTTAGGTCTTAGTGCTTAGTCCTGTGTCTTAGTGCTTAGTCCTGTGTCTTAGTTCATGTCCCGGTTCTGTCTTAGTGCTTAGTCCTGTGTCTTAGTTCATGTCCTGGTTCTGTCTTAGTGCTTAGTCCTTTGTCTTAGTTTATTTCCCGGTTCTGTCTTAGGTCTTAGTCCTGTATCTTAGTTCATGTCCCGGTTCTGACTTAGTGCTTAGTCCTGTGTCTTAGCTCATGTTCTGACTTAGTGCTTAGTCCTGTGTCTCAGTTCATTTTCTGTCTTAGTTCATGTCCCGGTTCTGTCTTAGGTCTTGGTCCTGTGTCTTAGTTCATGTCCCGGTTCTGTCTTAGGTCTTGGTACTGTGTCTTAGTTCATGTCCTGGTTCTGTCTTAGGTCTTAGTTCTGTGTCTTAGTCCTGTGTCTTAGTTCATGTTCTGTCTTAGTGCTTAGTCCTGTGTCTTAGTTCATGTTCCGGTTCTGTCTTAGTGCTTAGTCCTGTGTCTTAGTTCATGTCCTGTCTTAGGTCTTAGTCCTGTGTCTTAGTTCATGTCCCAGTTATGTGTTAGTGCTTAGACCTGTGTCTTGGTTCATGTCCCGGTACTGCCTCATTTCTTAAATCTAAATGTCCTGCCATAGAATATTTTTATTTTATTAAGTAAACCTGAAGAGCCCGAGACGTTCAGGATATATATATATATATATCGTCTAATTATTATTTACAGTGATTCAGATTCTAAGTGATTCAGAGCGACGCTGGGTCAGAGTGTACAAAGTCAGTTTTTATTTTACAGTATTTGCACATCAGCATAAAAAAGAATAAATGTAAACTGTACTAAAAGCAGCTTTAAAATTCAAATGCAGACACGTTACTGTAGAAACAAGCTGCTGCTCTACGTTCTCTGTACCTTTAACTGGCATCATAGAATAAATACAGGTGTGTAGAACATGTGACCTCCGATCAGTAAAACCTCGGACCTTTCAGACCGGGCCTCTGACCTTACAGACCGGGCCTCTGGCTTCGGACCTTTGAGACTGGGCCTTTGGCCCCTGATCTTTCCGAATGTGCCTCAGACAGCACTCTGAACCCAGCAGGTGAGTTCTGCTCAGCTCAGACTGTGAAGGCAGCGAGCGTAAAATGAACCTTGAGTTAGTCTCTGCTGCACAGACAGTGATTTTTTCCATTGTACTTGAAGGTGGCGTTTCAGACTGAATCTCAAGTACATCAGTACTTTAGTACTTTAGACACAATAATATAATAATGCTGTGGGTCCAGTATAGGATGATTGGCTCTAAGCTTGTTTTCTCTTGGGTTAGATACTATACAGGTGAGCTTCAATGCATGATGGTAGTTGGTAGTTTAATAGTGACTGGTAACTGGAACAGTTCTGGTGTAGAACTTCATTTGATCTGGTCTGATACTGGTTTGGTCCAATTTTAGTCCTAATTAGTTCCACGTCTGGTCCTGGTTCTAATTGTTTTAACTGGTTTGGTCCTGGTTTGTTCCACGTCTGGTCCTGGTTAGTCCTGGTTTGTGCCACGTCTGGTCCTGGTTCGGACCTGGTTTGAAGAGTTTTTGTCCTGGTTCTAATTGTTTTAACTGGTTTGGTCCTGGTTTGTTCCACGTCTGGTCCTGGTTGGTCCTGGTTTGTTCCACGTCTGGTCCTGGTTCGGACCTGGTTTGAACAGTTTTTGTCCTGGTTCTAATTGTTTTAACTGGTTTGGTCCTGGTTTGGTCTACGTCTGGTCCTGGTTAGTCCTGGTTTGTGCCACGTCTGGTCCTGGTTTGGACCTTGTTTGAAGTGTTTTTGTCCTGGTTCTAATTGTTTTAACTGGTTTGGTCCTGGTTTGGTCTACGTCTGGTCCTGGTTAGTCCTGGTTTGTGCCACGTCTGGTCCTGGTTTGGACCTGGTTTGAAGTGTTTTTGTCCTGGTTCTAATTGTTTTAACTGGTTTGGTCCTGGTTTGTTCCACGTCTGGTCCTGGTTCGGACCTGGTTTGAACAGTTTTTGTCCTGGTTCTAATTGTTTTAACTGATTTGGTCCTGGTTAGTCCTGGTTTGTGCCACGTCTGGTCCTGGTTCGGACCTGGTTTGAAGTGTTTTTGTCCTGGTTCTAATTGTTTTAACTGGTTTGGTCCTGGTTTGGTCCACAGCCGGTCCTGGTCTCAGTAGCTGTTTTCGTGTCCGGCAAGTATGTAAAGGTTACTGTGTTCAGTTGGGTTATCTGTCGCCCTGCTCTCCAGAACTACCACCCTGCAGACAGACAGGTGAATAGACAGGTGAGCTGATGGACAGGTGAGCAAGCTGACAGGTGAACAGACAGGTGAGCAAGCTGACAGGTGAAGAGACAGGTGAGCTGACAGACAGGTGAGCAAGCTGATGGACAGGTGAGCTGACAGACAGGTGAGCTGACAGACAGGTGAGCTGGCTGATGGACAGGTGGATGGAAAGGTGAGCTGACAGACAGGTGAGTGAGCTGACGGACAGGTGGATGGAAAGGTGAGCTGACAGACAGGTGAGTGAGCTGACGGACAGGTGTCTCACCTGTCGGAGCCCAGCAGGCGGAACATCCTGCTGTTGTCGCTGATCTCTTGAGTGATCTGCAGAAAAAAGGAGGAGGAAGAGGTTATGACACAGCAGTGAAGTGGGCGGGTTCCTGGCCTCTGATTATGATGATGATCATTACCTCATTAGATCTGAAGCTCCGCCCCTGCATGCCGTGTCTCCAGAAGGCCAAAACACTGTCCTGTAAACACACTGAAGAAGAGGAGGAGAGGGTCAGCACACCTGGAGGGGGGTTCAGGTGGTTTTAAGGTGGTCTGAGATGAACCTAATGCATGTGACGGCAGGGCTGCCAATAATCAATCGAACAAAATCATCAGCTGTTTGGGTTATTAATTAGCCTCGTTAGATTTATCTCTCCCTCAGAGTCAGTTTTCCCCGTAGTATCAAATGTAGTTATTTTTGAAGGTGAAGTTAGATCAGGTGACCGTCTGAAGGTGGTTCAAAGCTGAGGGTTTACCAATCGACTCGATCTGGAAATTGAAGGTGAGCTCAGCTGACAGCTTCTTGGCGGACTTCAGCTTCCCCTGAAGGTTTACGATCTTTATACAACCTGCAGGAAGTAGAAGGTACAACCAGCTCAGGTGACGTCAGCCTTCAAAATAAAACGTCTGTCATTAAAATGGTTTCATGAACTTACGGTCCAGACAGACCAGGACGGTGTCTCTCTCCAGCTGAGTGATGTGGATCACACAGCTCTGAGGGTTTTCTGCAAGGAGAGTGGAAGTTAAATAGGAAGGACTTGTACCCGAGTCTGGGGGGAAGGTATCCTTGAGTCCGGGGGGGGGGGTGTACCTGTCTCAGGGGGGGCGGGGCAGGAAGAATTGGGGTCGAGGGTCTGGAAGCTGACGGGCTGGTTGGCTTTAGCTCCTTTGCTCAGGCCGACACAGATCAGAGGGTACAGCTGCTCCGGGACAACCAGCAGCTCAAAAACCTCCAGAGGACACGGAGGCTGGAAGTCCACGTTCTGGCGGGGACACAGGTAGAGTTCTGGGTTAGATTCTCACAGTCGGTACCATCATGCTGATCACAGTGTAGAGTTTCAGCTCAGTCTATATACATACATACTGTATATAATAGTACAACAGGGACGTTTTTCTGCATTGAGTACTTTACTTTTAATACTTTAAGTACATTTTCCTGATTAGCATTTTCAATGCAGGACTTTTACTTGTAAAAGTACATTTACAGTGTAGTATTAGTACTTTTGCTGCAGTAATGGATGTGAATACTTCGTCCACCGCAGCTTGTTAGATGTTTGAGGCGCTGCTGCTTTAAATGAAAGTTAAACATACAGTGGCAGCAGGACACCAGCAGAGTGCGCTGTTAAATATTATATTTACACTGATTTAATATCGTATTTATGTTGATTTAATATTTGATTTATACAGATTTAATATTTGATTTATACTGATTTAATATCTGATTTATATTTATTTAACATCTGATTTATATCCATCCATCCATTGTCAACCTTTTATCCTGCATACAGGGTCGCGGGGGGCTGGAGAAAGGCGGGGTACACCCTGGACAGATCACCAGTCCATCGCAGTATCTGATTTATATTGATTTAATATCTGATTTATATTTAATATCTTCATATTGATTTAATATTTTATTTATACTGATTTAATATCTGATTTATATTGATTTAATATCTGATTTGTTTACTATTTGATTTATATTGATTTAATATCTGATTTAATATCTGATTTATACTGATTTAATATCTGATTTAATATCGATTTAATATCTGATTTATATTGATTTAATATCTGATTTATATCCATCCATCCATCGTCAACCGTACAGGGTCGCGGGGGGCTGGAGAAAGGCGGGGTACACCCTGGACAGATCACCAGTCCACCACAGTATCTGATTTATATTGATTTAATATCTGATTTATATTTAATATCTTCATATTGATTTAATATCTGATTTATACTGATTTAATATCTGATTTATACTGATTTAATATCTGATTTATACTGATTTAAGATCTGATTTATACTGATTTAATATCTGATTTATATTGATTTATTATCTGATTTAGATTTAATATCTTTATATTGATTTAATATTTTATTTATACTGATTTAATATCTGATTTATATTGATTTAATATCTGATTTAATATCTGATTTATATTGATTTAATATCTGATTTAGATTTAATATCTGATTTATATTGATTTAATATCTGATTTATATTGATTTAATATCTGATTTATACTGATTTAATATCTGATTTATATTGATTTAATATCTGATTGATATCCATCCATCCATCGTCAACCGTACAGGGTCGCGGGGGGCTGGAGAAAAGCGGGGTACACCCTGGACAGATCACCAGTCCACCGCAGTATCTGATTTATATTGATATAATATCTGATTTATATTGATTTAATATCTGATTTGTTTACTATTTGATTTATATTGATTTAATATCTGATTTGTTTACTATTTGATTTATATTGATTTAATATCTGATTTAATATCTGATTTATATTAATTTAATATCTGATTTATACAGATTTAATATCTGATTTATATTTAATATCTGATTTATACTGATTTAATATCTGATTTATATTGATTTATATTGATTTAATATCTGATTTAATATTTGATTTATATCGATTTAATATCTGATTTATACTGATTTAATATCTGATTTATATTTAATATCTGATTTATACTGATTTAATATCTGATTTATACTGATTTAATATCTGATTTAGATTTAATATCTGATTTATATTTAATATCTGATTTATACTGATTTAATATCTGATTTATACTGATTTAATATCTGATTTATATTTAATATCTGATTTATATTGATTTATATTGATTTAATATCTGATTTAATATTTGATTTATATCGATTTAATATCTGATTTATATTGATTTAATATCTGATTTAGATTTAATATCTGATTTATATTGATTTAATATCTGATTTATATTGATTTATTATCTGATTTATACTGATTTAATCTGTTTTATACTAATTTAATATCTGATTTATATTTAATATCTTCATATTGATTTAATATTTTATTTATACTGATTTAATATCTGATTTATATTGATTTAATATCTGATTTAATATTTGATTTATATCGATTTAATATCTGATTTAGATTTAATATCTGATTTATATTGATTTATTATCTGATTTATACTGATTTAATATCTGATTTATATTGATTTAATATCTGATTTATACTGATTTAATATCTGATTTATATCCATCCATCCATTGTCAACCTTTTATCCTGCGTACAGGGTCACGGGGGGCTGGAGAAAGGCGGGGTACACCCTGGACAGATCACCAGTCCACCGCAGTATCTGATTTATATTAATTTAATATCTGATTTACATTTAACATTTGATTTATACTGATTTAATCTGTTTTATACTAATTTAATATCTGATTTATACTGATTTATATCCATCCATCCATTGTCAACCTTTTATCCTGCATACAGGGTCACGGGGGGCTGGAGAAAGGCGGGGTACACCCTGGACAGATCACCAGTCCACCGCAGTATCTGATTTATATTTATTATCTGATTTATATTGATTTAATATCTGATTTATATTTAACATTTGATTTATATTTAACATTTGATTTATACTGATTTAATCTGTTTTATACTAATTTAATATCTGATTTATATTGATTTAATATCTGATTTATACTGATTTAATATTTGATTTATATTGATTTAATATCTGATTTATATCCATCCATCCATCGTCAACCGCTTATCCTGCGTACAGGGTCGCGGGGGGCTGGAGAAAGGCGGGGTACACCCTGGACAGATCACCAGTCCATCGCAGTATCTGATTTATATTAATTTAATATCTGATTTATATTTAATATCTGATTTATACTGATTTAATATCTGATTTATATTGACTTATTATCTGATTTATATTTAATATCTGATTTATACTGATTTAATATCTGATTTATACTGATTTAATATCTGATTTATATCCATCCATCCATCGTCAACCGCTTATCCTGCGTACAGGGTCACGGGGGGCTGGAGAAAGGCGGGGTCGCAGTATCTGATTTATATTGATGTAATATCTAATTTATATTGATTTAATATCTGATTTATATTGATTTAATAGCTGATTTATATTTAATATTTGATTTATACTGATTTAATATCTGATTTATATTTAATATTTGATTTATACTGATTTAATATCTGATTTATATTGATTTAATATCTGATTTATACTGATTTAATATCAGATTTATATTTAATATCTGATTTATACTGATTTAATAGCTGATTTATATTTAATATCTGATTTATATTGATTTATTATCTGATTTATATTTACTATCTTTATATTGATTTAATATTTTATTTATACTGATTTAAAATCTGATTTATACTGATTTAATATCTGATTTATACTGATTTAATATCTGATTTATACTGATTTAATATCTGATTTATATCCATCCATCCATCGTCAACCGCTTATCCTGCGTACAGGGTCACGGGGGGCTGGAGAAAAGCGGGGTACACCCTGGACAGATCACCAGTCCACCGCAGTATCTGATTTATATTGATGTAATATCTAATTTATATTTAATATCTTCATATTGATTTAATATTTTATTTATACTGATTTAATATCTGATTTATATTGATTTAATATCTGATTTGTTTAATATTTGATTTATATTGATTTAATATCTGATTTAATATCTGATTTATATTGATTTAATATCTGATTTATACTGATTTAATATCTGATTTATATCCATCCATCCATTGTCAACCTTTTATCCTGCGTACAGGGTCACGGGGGGCTGGAGAAAGGCGGGGTACACCCTGGACAGATCACCAGTCCACCGCAGTATCTGATTTATATTAATTTAATATCTGATTTATATTTAACATTTGATTTATACTGATTTAATCTGTTTTATACTAATTTAATATCTGATTTATACTGATTTATATCCATCCATCCATTGTCAACCTTTTATCCTGCGTACAGGGTCACGAGGGGCTGGAGAAAGGCGGGGTACACCCTGGACAGATCACCAGTCCACCGCAGTATCTGATTTATATTGATTTAATATCTGATTTATATTTATTATCTGATTTATACTGATTTAATATCTGATTTATATTGATTTAATATCTGATTTATATCCATCCATCCATTGTCAACCTTTTATTCTGCGTACAGGGTCACGGGGGGCTGGAGAAAGGCGGGGTACACCCTGGACAGATCACCAGTCCATCTGATTTATATTGATGTAATATCTGATTTATATTTAATATCTTTATATTGATTTAATATTTTATTTATACTGATTTAATATCTGATTTATATTGATTTAATATCTGATTTATACTGATTTAATATCTGATTTATATTTAAGATCTGATTTATACTGATTTAATATCTGATTTATATTGATTTATCATCTGATTTATACTGATTTAATATCTGATTTATATTGATTTAATATCTGATTTGTTTAATATTTGATTTATATTGATTTAATATCTGATTTATATTGATTTAATATCTGATTTAGATTTAATATCTGATTTATACGGATTTAATATCTGATTTATATTGATTTATTATCTGATTTATATTGATTTAATATCTGATTTATATCCATCCATCCATTGTCAACCTTTTATCCTGCGTACAGGGTCACGGGGGGCTGGAGAAAGGCGGGGTACACCCTGGACAGATCACCAGTCCACCGCAGTATCTGATTTATACTGATTTAATATCTGATTTATATTGATTTAATATTTGATTTACACTGATTTAATATCTGATTTATATTTAATACCTGATTTATATTGATTTCATATCTGATTTATACTGATTTAATATCTGATTTATATTGATTTAATATTTGATTTACACTGATTTAATATCTGATTTATATTTAATATCTGATTTATATTGATATAATATTTGATTTACACTGATTTAATATCTGATTTATATTTAATATCTGATTTATATTGATTTAATATCAGATTTATATGATGATTTAATTGATTTAATATTTGATTTACATTTAAGATTTGATTTATACTGATTACACACGATTGATCAGGCAGAAATCTCTCCACAGTCCACATGTTCAGCTCTGTTGAAGAGCAGCTCACAGGCTGCGCTTCACTTTCAAGATGTTCATATTAAAAAACTGTAGCCTCCCAGCTTTTGCCTGGACTCACAGCGCGAGGTGCACATCATTAAAATCGCGTCGAGTCGAAAACCTTCTCTTGCGGTGCAGTATGTAGCACGACGTTCAGCCCTGGTGCTTCTGCAGCTGGCTGAGTCACAGTCAGTCCTGTGTTTTACTCAGTAACGCTGTGATTTAAAACTACAAAGAAGTACAAAACTTCAAAGAAAACATACTTTTAAAATTACAGATTATAAAAACGACTTAAAAAAAGTACACAAAGTACTCAGTTATAGTAACGCGAGTAAACATGATTGGTTAGTTTCCACCCCTGGTCATGGTTTTGGGTTTCCTAGTTCACGTCCTTCTCTTTTAGTTTCTCTCCCGAGCTCTGACTTCCTGACAGGTCTGATCTCCTTGTTTTAAGTTTTCACTTTCATTCTTCCTGGTCCATGGATCTGTTCTGGTCGTCCACGTCCTCTGTTTTATTTTCCCAGATTACTGTACTTCCTGTGTTGTGCTGTGTTCACTTTCAGGTGTCTTGGTCTCGCTTTTTTTGGTTTGATTAGCCCTGTGTTCTTACCTTGACCAGCATGAATTTCTGCATCGGCTCCACCCACTCCAGCAGGACCACACCGGACTGGAAGGCTCCGCCCATGTACTTGTGACCAGTGTAGGGGTTTCTCACTGTGGGGAGCAGGGACAGGTGTCAAAGATAATCACATGTGTCTGTCTGGCTGCACAGAGCAGAGCCGGCTGTAGACAAGGACCGGGACCCAAATCCCAGAAGCCTCCTGTCTGAAGTCAGGACAAGAGGCTTCTGGAATACCAAACTAATTTAAGGAACCCCATCTTCTCTCAAGTTTGGGAATCCTAAATACTCAATCCAACATCTCTTGTCCCCCTTTATATCTGTTACCTAGCAACGGACGCTGTAGCCGGCTGTCTGTGCGAACACGTGGTTAAAAGGCGTGTCGTGTATCTCATGTACATGTGGTCAGAGCCTGCCAGCTTCAGTGGAGAGGGTGTGGTGCATGATGGGAAACCATGGGAGACTCACCTACGCAGCATTTCAGGCAGCCTTTGGTGTCGGGAATCTTGTTGGAGATGGAAAACTTCCTGGAGACCAAAACAATAAGGCAAACGATCAGGAGGGCGTTTAAGGTACCGGGACAACGTGAGCGAGCCGAGCGAGGATTACAACCGTTTCCATGTCCAAAACAATACCTGAAACATTACCCATAATGCTCCAGGAGACTAAAAACAAGAACATTTTAGAACTGAACTCCAGGACGCTACGAGTCCTCACCCCTGTGAGGCTGCACCCAGGGAGCGGTGAGCCTTTGTGTTTAAAGCTTGTAACATGTGTTGAATGTTTTCAGGAACTGACCGCGGTAAGATGCGATCGGGCAGCCGGTGAGACGTCAGCTTCAGTTTCTGTCGAGCCTGTTCGAACATGCCGGCCAGATTGTGGCAGTACAGCTGAGAGGCTTTACCTGCAGACGAGACGCAGGGGTCAGGTAACACACATCATAGTTTTCCTTTTTCATTGTTTTTCTTTTACAGTCTCGCATTGTTTTTATGAATCAAATTAAGATTTTAGAGTTTGTTTTTCTTTGATTCGTTTAATGACCTGATTCGAGTCCTTTACTTATTTTCCTTCCTCAGGTGTCAGTTTGCTTCAAGGACTTTTTGTCTCGTGTTGTTGAGTCATTCACTTGTTAGAGTTAATTCATGAAAAATAACTAAAGCAGACAATAAGAGCAGAATAAAAAATCAACGGTGTGTGACTGACCTGAGATGGAGATCAGAGTGTTGTTCATCACATAAACCCAGGTACACCTGCGAGGAAACAACTGCACACACACAAAGCGGTCACTGATTTATCCTGCACTCAGCCTCAGACCCTGAACCCCACGCTGCCGTGGCCTCCTGATCTGGACTGAAAACTAGATCAGACCCTGAATCTGGTGTCAAAACTAAAAACCCGAATAGTCTTCCTGATGAAACTCTTTTATTTATTTGCATTTCTGCACTAACCTCTGTGCCGTCAGCTGAAATCTAAAGTCTACAATGTTTGTAGTGTTTTTTGGGTTAGGGGTCCGAGCACCACCAGGTGGACCAGGTGAGCCCTCCAGAAGCAGCTGTTTCCTGTCTCTCACCTGTTCCATGCAGTTCTCATGGAGCTCGTTCAGGTTCAGAGTGTAGATTCCCTCCTCGGCTCCGAAGATGAGATAATGATCTGAGGACAGAAGCACACAAACAATACTGAACACAGAAATACTACGACACTGACGGACTGGGACGGACTGGACCCTAAACACCAAAGTCACACAATAACACAAGCTGACTGATGGAGGCAGCGGCGGACCAGAGGGGCAGAATTTCATCGAAGAGCCTTCCTGTCTCTCTCTGCAGGATCCTTTCCACTATAACTGTCTGAGCCCGGCAGAAACCAGCTCTGCGGTGGATCGACTCTGACGAGACGAGGTTACCCACAAGCCGTGAAATGGCTGCAGACTGAAAATGGGGTCCAGAAGTAAAATACAGAAGTTCCCCTTCAAAGCAGCAGTTGGGAACAACTACTCTGCTGCTCGTGTCACTCCGCTAAGCCCCTCCCACCAAACCCACAATAAGGCACCAGTTTTCCTGGACACATCAACCAGTGTAGGGCTCACTCTCCATGGCGAGACACCCCGCACCCTCCTGCACCGACTCATCCCAGAGACTCCCAGACTGAAGCCGGGTCGGACCGAAGGCGATCCTGGTGTGATGAAATGTGATGAATGGACGTACCTCTGGTGTCCGGGTTGATCCAGGAGGCAGCAGAGTGAATCTTCAGAGGACAGCCGTTGAAAACCTTTGAGAAACAGGCTCCCATCTGAAAACAGGAGGAAACAGAAACCAACATAAAGCTCAGGGTCTCTGAGCGTTCAGCCCTTCTATCATCTAGTCTTCGTTAAACAGCTGACGTGGTGTTCTGCTTTTAGATCCACCACCCAGGTCACTGGTGGAGCCTCAGGGTTCAGTCCTAGGATCGCTGTCAGGGTCCAATGAATCGGGCACACTGACCAGGCGGAAGTTAATTATTCATTATTAGCTTATTATCACACTGCTGAGCTGTGATGTAAAGTGCAGCAGACGTTCTGAGGTTAGAGTCCGGTTTATGTTAGGGGTGGGGGTTTGTGTGTGTGTTGGACCTACGTGGACTTTAGGTGTAGGCGGGAGTCCGTTGCTGGCGGGTTTCTGATGGAGAAACAAACACTGACATCAGCATGAGTTCTGAGCATGTGCACATCAGTTATCAGTAAGAGACGTCTGCCTCTTTTTATGCGGTTAGTTTTCACCTGCAGGGTGCAGCAGAGGGGCGGGGTTTACCTGCAGCCTGTCGGACCTCTGCTCCCTGCTGCTGCTGCAGAAACATGAAAGATGAATCCGTTTCTTACCGGAGGATGTTTCCTGTCGGGGCCAGCAGGAGGCGCTGCGGAGTGCTGCTCAGAGGAGGGCGGGGCGTTACCTGCACAGAGAGAGACTGTTGGACACACGGCAGGTGTATTCCAGGTGTGTCGGAAGTGTACATGAAGTGTAGTGGAAGCTGCAGGTGCTTTCACACCTGACCTGTTCGCTTGAGATGTGAAAGCAAACGACCTGATCTGATGTTCTCAGAGGTTCCAGCAGAACTTACCCAGGCTGCTCAGTCTGTGGGGGGGCAGTTTAGGGGGTGGAGGTCTGGGTGGACCCTGGGTGGCCGAGCGGACCGGGCTTTCTGACGGAGGATGGCGCTTTATGGTACCCTGGTCGCCATGATGGTCGTCATCAGAAGAAGGTGGTCCCTCCTGTAGGGGGCGCAGAGATATGAGATGCTGGTTCTGACAGACATGATCCAGACAGACAGATCCAGGACAGGTGGGAGGACACACCTGGGGGGGGGGGGCTTCAGGAGGAGGGCCGGGCCGCAACGTCAAGTCCTTTACACTGAAAGACACAGAGAGAGAGAAGAGAACTTCCTGTGAGTCCGACCAGAACCAGAACCAAACATTTTCACTTCAGGCTGAAAGCTAGCGCAACGTTAGCGTCAGGTGTTTTCAGGTGTGTTCATCACACTCACTGCGGCATGTTGTCTCCATTGTCGTTGTCATGGTGATCTGGAGAATTAGAGACGCCTGATTGGTTCTCTCCTCCCACACAGCCTTCATCATCATCCTCAGTCTTACCTTCATCCTCACTTGCAGCCACCTCATCCAGGTGAGTGTCATGGCCCCTGTGGAGGAAACAGGCATCTCCAGGTTCACAGATAACTCAGTAAGTGAGCGTGTCACCGACACGTATCACCTGTGGGATGTCACACCTGTCAGTGCGTGGAGGGGCGGGGCTTACCTTTGGTTGAGCTCCTCCTCCACAGACCTCAGCTGGCTCCTGATTGGACAGTTTGGAGGGAACAAAAAAAGAAACTCAGTCTTTAAACATGAGCTGACCAATAACTGATGTCACTTTACAACACCTTTTACAAACATGGCATTTTCTCTTCCGTCAGCAGTGATGCAGCTGACGAGACGTTCTCTCTAAACTCACCTCTTAACACCGGGATTTACCAGCACGAGTTATGACATCACAGCTGGCTTGGAGCCAATCAGGGTCGAGTATGAAACTGACCCGGTGTGATGTGGAAAGGTGAAGCGTCCAGGTGATGTTCAACAGGTGAATGTTAAACATGAACAATGTCTACAGGTGACACGTTTATTTCTTCGTTAGTTTCATCTTGATGATTGCAGCTCATGGAAATCAGTAATCGAGATCTCTAAATATTAGAATAAATAAATTATACAGAAATGTGGATCTTCTGAAAACCTTCTGGTTGGTTAGTTTCTCCTCTCAGCAGCTGGTCGAGTTTCGCTTTCAGGGCGGCGAGGAGGCGACCAGCCTGCCGAGCTTTGATGAGACCTTCAGCCCGTCTGGTGTCTCTCAGAGTCTCTGAGGGGTTCAGGTCAGGTGAGCTGGCCGACCAATCACAGGAACACCACGGTTGGCAGACCGGTTCCTAGTGGTTCTAGTCCTGCGGGCAGGTGCCAGATCCTGCTGGAACAGGAAACCGGCGTCTCCATAAAGCTCGTCAGCAGGTGAAGCATGACTCTCTGATCGTCTCAGGTCCACATTTCTGATTTAAAGATCTAATATTTTCAGATCTGGATTTCCATAAGCTTAAATTAATGAACTTTTCCTCAATATTCTGATTTCCTGTCAGTAAAAATCCTTCTGAGCTGTCGGACGGCGTCTCATCTGAAAGAGCTCTTAGAACCTTATTCAGCTGCCAGAACCCTGCAGGTTCTCCAGGAGACCCGTCTGCTCTCCCTTTTCACAGTCTTTCTCATCATCAGACACATTTCCCTGGTGTGACGAGAAGTGAGAGGTCAGCGGCGAGGTCAGAGGTCGGCGCATTCAGACAGCAGCAGAAGAAGAAAACGTCAGTGGAAATGCCAGCCGTCCATTTAAAACCGCTTTCTTCACCGTTAGCAAAAATTCCAAAGTGCTCAAATGCAGCGTCTTTAAATTTTCATCGGCGAGCAATAAATAATTCAGCCGGAGCCGAAGTCTGCACTCGCTGAGGGAGGAGAGAAACTCTCTTCTTCACGTGCTGCGTTCACGTGTGCTGCGGAGGGTCTGCAAACTCCACAATTACCAACCAGCAGCTCGTTTACATGATGTGGCCCCCAGGACCAGAGAACCAGTGCTGGGGACCAACCCCCCCGACTCACTGTCCCGTTTTATCATCAACAATTAAATGCGGGAGGGCTCCACTGAGCGTGCTCAGGTGAGAGGACGCCTTTTCACTGAACTGAGTTAAAAAATGTGACTTCTAGAGGAGGCGTGATCAGATATAGCTCAGACAGCACGAGAGCCTCGTCCTGAAGTTCTCCAGAACCAGGAGAGAGTCTCAACACTGCTGCTAGCTTCCAGCTAACACCTGTACAGGTGAGCTCATTAACATACAAGTGGCAGTGAGACCCGACGGTGGCACCGAAGACGTGAGACCCAACGGTGACCCGAGACCCTGAGACCCGATGGTGGCCCGAGGACGTGAGGCCCGACGGTGGTCTCTGTCTGAGCATCACAGGAAGTCTTCCACTCACTCTGGATGTGATCAGAACTTCCCTCCTTCTGCCTGGACGCCTTCACATGTTGCTGCTTTGTGTCTGATCTTTAAATGTGACGGAGATGTTTTATTGATCCTGTGTTTCCCACCTGTTTCCACTGAGGCTGGATCCTGATCCTGATCCTGCAGCAGAATCCTCCTCCTCCATCTGCAGCTCCTGCAGGAGACACGATTTATTATCTTCAGCTTAGAGGATTTGATCTTTCCCCCCCTCCCCTTTCCTAAAAGCCTGCTGTACAAATTCCAGAGCAGATGTGGAGGCAGCTGATTGATTCCTTACAGACCCAAACGCCGCTGCGCTGCTGTACCCCCCCCCCCTCCACACTTCACTCACGGTTTTAACGAATCAGCTGTCTGACACACATCATGTGACTCTACTGCTCTGTCACTGGCACACCTCTAAACTGCTGATTGGACAGAATCACAGACTAACTAACACAGACCAGTGACAGCAGAGCAGGAAGTGACATCATCCAGGTGGAAAAGCAGAGAAGAAGAAGAAAACAAAAAGAAGCTGTTGGCCTGTTAGCGTGGCAAGTCAGTTAGCTGGAGTGCTAACAGGAAACAGGAAGAGGCAGCGGTAAATACCAGGGTGGATCTCGCGGTGTAGTAGAGCTCCTCCTCACAGTCCAGGAAACGATCCGGGTCGGCCTGAAAACACAAGACAAGACGGGTCAGACAGAATATGGCGGCGTGACCACCTGGTGCTACCATGTGACCTGCATCACATCCACCTGGGGGATGCCGTGTTTCCTCTGAGCTATGTTTTCTCTCATTTGGTGTCAGAGGTGTTACCCAATCAGCAATGACGTGTATATAAGCCCTGCCCAACAGTTTGAGAGTGTTACCTCTTCATGGTGCGCTTCAGTCTCTTTCCTCAGAGGAGGATCAAACTTCATCTGATCAACTGAAAGACAAAACACACTCACTCACCATCATCCCCACCATCACCACCATCACCACCATCACTAATCACCATCACCACCATCATCACCACCATCACCATCACTACCATCACCACCATCACTCATCATCATCACCACCCTCACCATCATCATCACCACCATCACCACCATCACTCATCATCATCATCACCACCACCCTCACTCATCATCATCACAATCACTCACCATTATCACCATCATCACCATCACTCACCAATATCACCATCACTCATCATCATCATCACCATCACAATCACTCACCATCACCATCACTCACCATCCATCACTCACCATCATCACAATCACTCATCATCACAATCACTCACCATCACCATCACTCATCAATATCACAATCACTCATCATCATCATCATCACCATCACAATCACTCACCATCACCATCACTCACCATCATTACAATCACTCATCATCACAATCACTCACCATCATCACATCACTCACCAATATCACAATCACTCATCATCACCATCACTCACCATCATTCACCATCATCACCATCCATCACTCACCATCATCACAATCACTCACCATCACTCACCATCATCACAATCACTCACCATCATCATCATCATCACCATCACTCATCATCACCATCACTCACCATCATCACAATCACTCACCATCATCACCATCCATCACTCACCATCATCACAATCACTCATCATCATCATCACCATCACTCACCATCATCACCATCACCATCCATCATCACAATTACTCATCATCACTCACCATCATTCACCATCATCACCATCCATCACTCACCATCATCACAATCACTCATCATCATCACCATCACAATCACTCACCATCATTCACCATCATCACAATCACTCACCATCATCACCATCCATCACTGACCATCATCACAATCACTCACCATCATCACCATCACCACCATCCATCACTCACCATCATCACAATCACTCACCATCATCATCATCACCATCTATCACTCACCATCATCACCACCACCCTCACCATCATCATCACCATCCACTCATCACCATCACAATCACTCACCATCATCACCACCCTCACATCATCACCATCCATCACTCACCATCATCACCATCCATCACCACCACCTTCACCATCATCACCATCCATCACCATCATCACAATCACTCATCATCACCATCACAATCACTCACCATCATCACCATCCATCACTCATCATCACCATCCATCACTCACCATCATCACAATCACTCACCATCATCATCACCATCACTCATCACCACCACCCTCACCATCATCATCACAATCACTCACCATCATCACCATCCATCACTCACCATCATCACAATCACTCATCATCATCATCATCACCATCACTCACCATCATCACCATCACCATCCATCATCACAATTACTCATCATCACTCACCATCACCATCCATCACTCACCATCATCACAATCACTCATCATCACCATCACAATCACTCACCATCATTCACCATCATCACAATCACTCACCATCATTCACCATCATCACCATCCATCACTCACCATCATCACCATCACCACCATCCATCACTCACCATCATCACAATCACTCACCATCATCATCATCACCATCTATCACTCACCATCATCACCACCACCCTCACCATCATCATCACCATCCACTCATCACCATCACAATCACTCACCATCATCATCATCACCATCTATCACTCACCATCATCACCACCACCCTCACCATCACAATCACTCACCATCATCACCACCCTCATATCATCACCATCCATCACTCACCATCATCACCATCCATCACCACCACCTTCACCATCATCATCATCACCATCCATCACCATCATCACAATCACTCATCATCACCATCACAATCACTCACCATCATCATCACTCACAATCACTCACCATCATCATCACCATCCATCACTCATCATCACCATCCATCACTCACCATCACTCATCATCACCACCATCCATCACCATCACTCACCATCATCATCACAATCACTCACCATCATCACAATCACTCATCACCATCACTCACCATCATCACCACCCTCACCATCATCATCATCACCATCCATCACTCACCATCATCACAATCACTCACCATCCATCACTCACCATCACTCATCATCATCACCATCCATCACTCACCATCATCACAATCACTCACCATCATCATCATCACCATCACTCATCATCACCACCACCCTCACCATCCATCATCACAATCACTCACCATCATCACCATCACTCACCATCATCATCACCATCCATCACTCACCATCATCACAATCACTCATCATCACAATCACTCACCATCATCACCATCACTCACCATCATCACCATCCATCACTCACCATCATCACAATCACTCACCATCATCATCACCATCACTCATCACCACCACCCTCACCATCCATCACCATCCATCACCATCACTCACCATCATCACATCATCATCACCATCCATCACTCACCATCATCACAATCACTCACCATCATCATCATCATCATCACTCATCATCACCACCACCTTCACCATCATCACCATCCATCACCATCACTCACCATCATCATCATCCATCATCATCCATCTCTCACATCACCACCCTCACCATCATCGTCATCATCATGATCCATCACTCACCATCACCACCCTCACCATCATCACCATCCATCACTCACCATCATCACAATCACTCACCATCATCACAATCACCATCATCACAATCACTCACCATCATCACCATCACTCACCATCATCACAATCACTCATCATCACCACGATCACCATCATCACAATCACTCACCATCATTATCATCACCATCACTCATCACCACCCCCCTCACCATCACTCACCCTCACCATCACCATGATCACCATCATCACAATCACTCGCCATCATTATCATCACCATCACTCATCATCACCACCCCCCTCACCATCACTCACCCTCACCATCACCATTCATCACTCACCATCATCACCATCACCCTCAACCTCACCCTCACCATCACCATCCATCACTCACCATCATCACCATCACCCTCAACCTCACCCTCACCATCCATCACTCACCATCATCACCACCATCATCATCATCATCACCACCACCGTAAACTTACAGGTGATCTCAGACAGAGTTTTTCCTTCTCTGGTGTTTCTGGACGGGATCCTCTGAGGGACAGACACGAGCTGCAGACAGACAGGAAGTCAGTAACTACAGGTGTGCTAATGGTCCTCTGCGGCGCTGCAGCGGCGTCCCCGTGTGGTTTGATCTGTGCGCTGACATACATGTGTTTAACGAGGACGAACACATTCAACAGGTTTACTGAACCTCAAGAACACAGAGGTGACTTTTACTCTTTATTTTATGGGGGTGAGGGGGGGCCCGCCACAGAGGGGATTCCCTCGGCATCCTTTTCCTCTCAGCAGAGGACACTTTCACAGCAGACACACGCACAAAGTGACAGCTGCAGATCCAAGACGGCGTCTGAGCGGCATCCTTCAGTCAGGGCAGACACATTCAGCTGAACCCTCCAGGGCCTCGAAGCCTCGTGTTGGGCATCAACTGTGATGCTGGCATCAGTTCTGCTTCCTCCTCACAGCTTCATCTGATGCTTCAGTCAGGTGCTGACGGACTGAACATGTTCTCAGCACGAGGAGAGGAAACCAACTGATCCTTACTGATCTATTGATTGTTTTTTTCAGTCAATGCCTGATTTTTATTGGTTATAAAATGAAAGGTGTGATTCAGTGTTGTCTTCAGATTGTTTCTCCCTCCCAGTTTTTTATTGCTATCAAACTGAAAAAAACATGATTAATCAGTGAAAGAGGAGGATTTGCCCCCCATCACTGATCAATTCATCAATTTATTGACTAATTAGCAAAACAGCAGTTACCTGACACACATTACTGTACAGAACAGGATTGGCACTACTGCTGTGACAGAACACGAAGGAACGTGAAAGAACACGAAGGAACATGAAGGAACGTGACAGAACACAAAGGAACCTGAACGGGAAGGAACGTGAAGGAACATGAACGGGAAGGAACGTGAAAGAACACGAAGGAACGTAAATGGGAAGGAACATGAAGGAATGTGACAGAACACGAAGGAACAGTAAGGAACGGGAAGGAACGTGACAGAACACGAAGGAACATGATGTAATGTGACAGAACACGAAGGAACATGAACGGGAAGGAATGGGAAGGAACGTGACAGAACACGAAGGAACATGAATGGGAAGGAACATGAAGGAACGTGACAGAACATGAAGGAACATGAATAGGAAGGAATGTGAAAGAACATGAACGGGAAGGAACGTGACAGAACAGGAAGGAACATGAACAGGAAGGAACATGAAGGAACGTGACATAACACGAAGGCACAGGAAGGAACAGGAAGGAACATGAACGGGAATTAATATTTCATTGCAATATGAAAAGATCCAGTGAAGTTCAGCAGATGGTGCAGAGCATGCTGGGAACTGTTTGTGCTCTGTACACAGGAAACAACAACAGCACTGTTCATTAACGTTTAATGACTCGCCCACGGACATTCAGCTTCCTCCCTACTTCACCAACACTGTTGTGATGGAGAGCTGTCTGGAGCCGCTGTGCCGGCCTCCCTGCGTGTTAGCTTCACGATAGCTTCATGATAGCTTTGCAGCAGCAATTGTAGCCGAGGTTAGCTAAACACAACTTACAACTTACTTGCTGTCGTTGTATGCTCAGTATCGTGGCGTGATTTCTCCAGAATCACTTACTGCACTGGACTAAATGATGTGACACCATGCAGACTTCTCTTGGAGATTGGTTTTGGAAAAGTTTTCCTTTTGTATCAAGCAGCAAAACACATGACGTGTTTGAGTGAATTGCTTTCTGTGACACTACACATTCTGCAATGTGACTATCGCGGATGTGACCCGGATGTGACCAGAGGCTCTGTGGTGATTAAAGATCAAATCAGTGTTCACCAATAAGGTTTGAGGATCCACTGAGGATATTAAAAAAGAATATTGTCGACACTGAACTGACTGACTATTGGTGATTACAAGTCTAATGTAAGAATAATGAGCACACATGTTATTAAACGTGTCTTCAGGGTTAGTCAGGAAATTTCCCCCTCTGCTGCTCAGATTTGGACCAATCGGGTTTTAAAATGCCTCTCACAAGAGACGCACTAATGTATTTTGTTTTAGGTCTGTCTGTTTACTCTGCTAGTCAAATACAAGTTAGTCAGAATGTTAGAACCATTTCTCCCTCCACAGAGCTGACAACAGGAAAAGCAGCTGTCTGAATGTAGTGAATGACACGAAGCTCACACTGCTGAGCTGCAGTGACTCTGAACACTGACCTTTACCTGTCTTTAACCGACTTCACCAGAACATTTACTGTGAGAGACCAACAAATATCTGACGATATTGCAGACGTTAAGAGTCCTTTGCCCCCCCCCCCCCACCTCTGTATCGGCCTCGTCATCGTCCAGGTGGTCCTGGTAGGAAGTCTGGTCCGGGTTACTGACTTTATCCAGCAGCTCGATGACCAGAGTCCGACTGAGAGGCTGAGAGACAAACGGATGCTGGGGGAGGACAAAAAACATCATCATGTCCCTTTAATCTGCATCCTTCATCAACACATAATGCTGATGTCAAGTGGAAATCTGGTTTATTCAGGAAGTAGGGGACACAGCTTTGTTTGTGGCCGTGCAGTTTGACCATGACAGGTTTAGAAACGTATTCTGAGACTCTACTGCATCGTCACAGCACCGTTTTACTACCTGCAGGAGTTTGTCAGCTGTCGGTCGTTTCTTGGGGTTTTTGGTCAGAGCAATTTTTACAAACTGATGGAAGTTTCCAGTCCTGCAGAGATAAAAACACACAGATTGAACACTAAATACCTCACTGATAATACTCGGGTTATATATTTTATATTTATCAACTAGTGGTAGTGAGAAAAAATAAACACCAGACTCTAACAAGCACATTGACATCAGCTAGAAAAGAGGTGATAACCGATACCAACAGTGAAGTCGAGCATGATGTAGCACACCGTTACGTTTTTGTGAAAACAACCAACAAGGCATACCACGGGGAGCTGCTCCAGTGTCCTACACTGTCGAGTGCGCAGAGATGCATGCTGGGAAATGTGGACAAAGTAAAAAAGTGTTTCAGAATCTTTAAGAATGCAAATGACGTTTTACTGTTCCAGCGATGCTTTATTGTTCCAGTGGCGAGATCAGCTGTTCAAGTGTTGATATTAACTGTTCCAGTGGTGATATAAACTGTTCCTGTGGTGAGATTTACTGTTCCTGTGGTGAGATTTACTGTTCCTGTGGTGAGATTTACTGTTCCAGTGGTGATATTAACTGTTCCAGTGGTGATATAAACTGTTCCTGTGGTGAGATTTACTGTTCCTGTGGTGAGATTTACTGTTCCAGTGGTGAGATTTACTGTTCCAGTGGTGATATTAACTGTTCCAGTGGTGATATTAACTGTTCCAGTGGTGAAATTTACTGTTCCAGTGGTGATTTAACTGTTCCAGTGGTGATATTAACTGTTCCAGTGGTGAAATTTACTGTTCCAGTGGTGATATTAACTGTTCCAGTGGTGATATAAACTGTTCCTGTGGTGAAATTTACTGTTCCAGTGGTGATTTAACTGTTCCAGTGGTGATTTAACTGTTCCAGTGGTGATATAAACTGTTCCTGTGGTGAAATTTACTGTTCCGGTGGTGATATAAACTGTTCCAGTGGTGATATAAACTGTTCCTGTGGTGAAATTTACTGTTCCAGTGGTGATTTAACTATTCCAGTGGTGAGATTTACTGTTCCAGTGGTGATTTAACTGTTCCTGTGGTGATTTAACTGTTCCAGTGGTGATTTAACTGTTCCTGTGGTGAGATTTACTGTTCCAGTGGTGATTTAACTGTTCCTGTGGTGAGATTTACTGTTCCAGTGGTGATTTAACTGTTCCTGTGGTGATATTAACTGTTCCTGTGTTGAGATTTACTGTTCCTGTGGTGATTTAACTGTTCCTGTGTTGAGATTTACTGTTCCTGTGGTGATTTAACTGTTCCTGTGGTGATATTAACTGTTCCAGTGATGTTGTTTGGATTTTATGCTGACTCTACTGGGATGTAAAGTTCCAGTTTGTCTAAATTCACCATCAGTCTGCTGCTCACGTCGCTGCTCTGCTTGAGCTCCGGCTGACATTCAAAGAGAATATTCTTCTTATTAGCATTAACAGCACCTGGCTGGCTGATGTTAATAATTCAGCAGCTTCTTGATTGTCCTCATACATATTATTTCACTGATTCCATGCTGAGAGGGAGAGAGAGGGAGAGAAAGGAACAGAGAGAGAGAGAGAGAGAGAGAGAGAGAGAGAGAGAGAGAGAGAGAGAAAGGAACAGAGAGAGAGAGAGAGAGAGAGAGGAACAGAGAGAGAGAGAGAGAGAGGAACAGAGAAAGAGAGAGAGAGAGAGAGGACCAGAGAGAGAGAGAGAGAGGACCAGAGAGAGAGAGAGAGAGAGGACCAGAGAGAGAGAGAGAGGAACAGAGAGAGAGAGGAACAGAGAGAGAGAGAGAGAGGGGAACAGAGAGAGAGAGAGAGAGGAACAGAGAGAGAGAGAGAGAGGAACAGAGAGAGAGAGAGGAACAGAGAGAGAGAGAGGAACAGAGAGAGAGAGAGAGAGAGGACCAGAGAGAGAGAGAGAGGAACAGAGAGAGAGAGAGGAACAGAGAGAGAGAGGAACAGAGAGAGAGAGAAACAGAGAGAGAGAAACAGAGAAAGAGAGAGGAACAGAGAGAGAGGAACAGAGAGAGAGGAACAGAGAGAGAGAAACAGAGAGAGAGAAACAGAGAGAGAAACAGAGAGAGAGGAACAGAGAGAGAGAGAGGAACAGAGAGAGAGAGAGGAACAGAGAGAGAGAGAGAGAGGAACGAGAGAGAGAGAAAGGAACAGAGAGAGAGAAACAGAGAGAGAGAGAGGAACAGAGAGAGAGAGAGGAACAGAGAGAGAGAGAGAGAGAGAGGGGAACAGAGAGAGAGAGAGAGAGGAACAGAGAGAGAGAGAAAGGAACAGAGAGAGAGAAACAGAGAGAGAGGAACAGAGAGAGAGGAACAGAGAGAGAGAGAGGAACAGAGAGAGAGAGGAACAGAGAGAGAGAGAAAGGAACAGAGAGAGAGAAACAGAGAGAGAGAGAGGAACAGAGAGAGAGAGAGGAACAGAGAGAGAGAGAGAGAGAGGAACAGAGAGAGAGAGAAGGAACAGAGAGAGAGAGAGAGAGAGAGAGGAGAGAGAGAGAGAGGAACACACAGAGAGAGAGAGAGGGAGAGAGAGAGGAACACAGACAGAGAGGAACACAGAGAGACAGAGAGGAACACAGAGAGAGAGAGAGGGGAACAGAGAGAGAGAGAGGAACAGAGAGAGAGAGAGACAGAGAGAGAGAGGGAGAGAGAGAGAGAGAGGAACACAGAGAGAGAGAGAGGGAGAGAGAGAGGAACACAGACAGAGAGGAACACAGAGAGACAGAGAGGAACACAGAGAGAGAGAGAGGAACACAGAGAGAGAGGAACACAGACAGAGAGGAACACAGAGAGACAGAGGGAGAGAGAGAGAGGAACACAGACAGAGAGGAACACAGAGAGACAGAGGGAGACAGAGAGAGGAACACAGAGAGACAGAGGGAGAGAGAGAGAGGAACACAGACAGAGAGGAACACAGAGAGACAGAGGGAGAGAGAGAGAGGAACACAGACAGAGAGGAACACAGAGAGACAGAGGGAGAGAGAGAGAGGAACACAGACAGAGAGGAACACAGAGAGAGAGGAACACAGAGAGACAGAGGGAGAGAGAGAGAGGAACACAGACAGAGAGGAACACAGAGAGACAGAGGGAGAGAGAGAGAGGAACACAGACAGAGAGGAACACAGAGAGACAGAGGGAGAGAGAGAGAGGAACACAGAGAGAGGAACACAGAGAGACAGAGGGAGAGAGAGAGAGGAACACAGAGAGGAACACAGAGAGACAGAGGGAGAGAGAGAGAGGAACACAGAGAGGAACACAGACAGAGAGGAACACAGAGAGAGAGGAACACAGAGAGAGAGAGGAACACAGAGAGGAACACAGACAGAGAGGAACACAGAGAGAGAGGAACACAGAGAGACAGAGGGAGAGAGAGAGAGGAACACAGACAGAGAGGAACAGAGAGAGAGAGAGAGGGAGAGGAACACACATGTCCCAAACTAAGAAAAATGTTGACAACGTACAGACTGAGTGAACACAGCCTGGCCATAGAAAAGGGTCGACACAGACAGAGCTGGCTACCACAAGAGGAGAGACTCTGCTCTCAGTGTGACAGGGGACAGGTAGAGACAGGGGACAGGTAGAGACTCGGGGGACAGGTAGAGACACAGAGGACAGGTAGAAATAGAGCTGCACTTTCTAACCTCATGTCCTTAATATAAAACACAAAGACAAAAACACTTTGCAAACATTTCCCAAATATACCCCGAATTCAAATTCATATCAGACACACAGAAACTCCCCTATTTACTGGGAGAAATGCCCAAATGTGAAATAATTGCTGCAAAATATGTCTCCTCATGCCATGAAGTGAAGACAACCAGTAGAACCTCAGACTGATAAATAATTGGACAGATTTTCAAATTATTATTATTTTGATCGTTTGATATTTTAGTAATTGTTTGTTTTTACATTTGACACTATTATTTTTTTAATCAATTAATTCTTTAAAAAAAGGGTTTTTTGTCTATTAATATACACACACACGTTACTGTTTCATTTATTTATTTTATTTTTTATATATTTTTTAGCATGCACACACACACACTTACCATTTGATTTATTTAAATTTTTTATATATATATATTTTTTTAAACACAAACACACATACACTTTGATTACTTTACGCTTTAATTGTTTAATGAAATGTATGGGGCTGATTGTTCTTATGTTGTGTATATATGATACTTTGGCAATGTTATTACATTCATGCCAATAAAGCTAATTTGAATTGAATTGAATTGAGAGATACTCACCACTTCACCTTGTCTTTCAGTTTGGGCGACTGAAAGTTACTTTTGGTCATCAGAAGCAGAGCTCTGAGAGGGAAACAGATCATCAGTCATCATCTTAGTGACAAACTGGAGCTCTTTAAATTTCATCTCATCTGCTGTTTACTGCAGCAACACCTACAGATGCTGGTCATATAATTAGAATATCATCAGAAAGTTGATTTATTTCAGTAATTCCATTCAAAAAGTGAAACTTGGATATTATATTCATTCATTACACACAGACTGATATATTTCAAATGTTTATTTCATTTAATTGTGATGATTAAAACTGACAACTAATGAAAATCCCAAATTCAGTATCTCAGAAAATTTGAATATTACTTAAGACCAATACAAAAAAAGGATTTTTAGAAATGTTGGCCAAATGAAAAGTATGAACATGAAAAGTATGAGCATGTGCAGCACTCATTACTAAGTTGGGGCTCCTTTTGTCTGAATTACTGCAGCGATGCGGCGTGGCATGGAGTCCATCAGTCTGTGGCACTGCTCAGGTGTTATGAGAGCCCAGGTTGCTCTGATAGTGGCCTTCAGCTCTTCTGCATTGTTGGGTCTGGCGTATCGCATCTTCCTCTTCACAATACCCCATAGATTTTCTATAGGGTTAAGGTCAGGCCAGTTTGCTGGCCAATTAAGAACAGGGATACCATGGTCCTTAAACCAGGTACTGGTAGCTTTGGCACTGTGTGCAGGTGCCAAGTCCTGTTGGAAAATGAAATCTGCATCTCCATAAAGTTGGTCAGCAGCAGGAAGCATGAAGTGCTCTAAAACTTCCTGGTAGACGGCTGTGTTGACCTTGGACCTCAGAAAACACAGTGGACCAACACCAGCAGATGACATGGCACCCAAACCATCACTGACTGTGGAAACTTTACACTGGACTTCAAGAAACGTGGATTCTGTGCCTCTCCTCTCTTCCTCCAGACTCTGGGACCTTGATTTCCAAAGGAAATGCAAAATTTACTTTCATCAGAGAACATAACTTTGGACCACTCAGCAGCAGTCCAGTCCTTTTTGTCTTTAGCCCAGGCGAGACGCTTCTGACGCTGTGTCTTGTTCAGGAGTGGCTTGACACAAGGAAAGCGACAGCTGAAACCCATGTCTTGCATGCATATATTTTTGAATGGGTTTTGTTTCACAATCCTCTCCAGGGTGCGGTTATCCCTATTGCTTGTACACTTTTTTCTACCACATCTTTTCCTTCCCTTCACCTCTCTATTAATGTGCTTGGACACAGAGCTCTGTGAACAGCCAGCCTCTTTAGCAATGACCTTTTGTGTCTTGCCCTCCTTGTGCAAGGTGTCGATGGTCGTCTTTTGGACAGCTGTCAAGTCAGCAGTCTTCCCCATGATTGTGTAGCCTACAGAACGAGACTGAGAGACCATTTAAAGGCCTTTGCAGGTGTTTTGAGTTAATTAGCTGATTAGAGTGTGGCACCAGGTGTCTTCAATATAGAACCTTTTCACAATATTCTAATTTTCTGAGATACTGATTTTGGGGTTTTCATTAGTTGTCAGTTATAATCATCAAAATTAAAAGGAATGGACACTTGAAATATATCAGTCTGTGTGGAATGAATGTATACATTATACAAGTTTCACTTTTTGAATGGAATTACTGAAATAAATCAACTTTGATGATATTCTAATTATATGACCAGCACCTATATCCACCGTATGTAATGTATTGAAAACATAAAACATTCAACACGTTGCTGGCGTTAAATTGTACGTAACAAAGAGGCTTTCTACTTGCGAGTTATTGTAAACAAACATCGTGATTGGTTATTTATCCTTGGTAAGGCACACGAACAGATAGAACAGTCATGTGCTCGTGGATGATCTGCTGCTTGTTGTTGCATTATATGGTCATTTTATTCTAATGTGTGTTGTTACTCTTGAGTTTTGTGTTTGCACACCACGTTGATAAATTCTTCTGTTCTCTGGTGTGGAAACTACAAACCTCATGGGGTGGAGGTCGAACATGGGCGGCTGCAGCTCGGCTAGTTCGATGGCGGTGATGCCGACGGCCCAGATGTCACACAGCTGGTTGTATCCACCCTTCCTCTCCACCGCCGCCACCTCCGGAGCCATCCTGCAACAACACACACCCATTGGCTTAGATTCGGCCAATCACAGAACCCGACAAGCTGACTGGATAAATACATCAGGAAGTCGAGACACAACAGAGAAACATGAAGCTGCAGCCTCATCATCATCATCATCGTCATCATCGTCCTGGGAGACAAGACGGCGGCTGCAGGCTGCTGACCTCAGCGTCACCATAGAGACCACCAATAGAAGGGGGAACAATGTCGTACCAGTACGGCGTCCCGATGAAGGATTTCCTCTTAGCGATGGTCATAGTGATCTGAGCCGACACGCCGAAGTCCGCTGCCAACACACACACAGAGCCAGGGGTGAAAGGTCAAACCAGCCATCTTCTGAGCACACATTAACTGTGTATGACCGCATCGTAATACTTCATATGGCTGACAGGCTGTGACATCACCACACAGTGGAAATATAAACTGCATGAACCAACGACGAGCACGAGACACTGAGGAGTGACGTAAGTCTGAATTATTTTAATGGTTTAATTCAGAAAAGGAAGTCTGCTGTCTCAGACAGGCTGATTGACTCAGTGTGACATATGACATATGACATATCACAAGACCCGCCTCTCTACCTGATCAGTGGGCGGAGTCTGCTCATGACATCACAGACCTCCCAGGTGCGTGAGACTCACCAGTTTGACGTATCCGTTATCAGTCAGCAGGACATTCGCTCCCTGCAGATGCAACACAAACTGTTAGCTCGCCGCTGTAGCTCCGCCCACTCAGGCTCACACTTAATGCACCTGACTGGTGATTCACACTGTGATAATTAATAATAATCATTAATAACACACTGCAGCTCACCTTGATGTCTCTGTGCATCTTCCCTTTGCTGTGCAGGTAGAAGAGGCCCTGCAGAACACAAACAGACGGTGTTACTTCATACTGGTAACAGGCAGGTAACATGCAGGTAACAGGCAGGTAACAGGCAGGTAACATGCAGGTAACAGGCAGGTAACAGGCAGATAACATACTGGTAACAGGAAGGTAACATGCAGGTAACAGGCAGGTAACAGGCAGGTAACAGGCCGGTAACAGGCCGGTAACAGGCCGGTAACATGCAGGTAACATACTGGTAACAGGAAGGTAACATGCAGGTAACAGGCAGGTAACAGGCAGGTAACAGGCCGGTAACAGGCAGGTAACATACTGGTAACAGGAAGGTAACATGCAGGTAACATACTGGTAACAGGAAGGTAACATGCAGGTAACAGGCAGATAACAGGCAGGTAACAGGCCGGTAACAGGCAGGTAACAGGCAGGTAACAGGCCGGTAACAGGCCGGTAACAGGCCGGTAACAGGCCGGTAACAGGCCGGTAACAGGCCAGTAACAGGCCGGTAACATGCAGGTAACAGGCAGGTAACAGGCCGGTAACAGGCAGGTAACAGGCAGATAACATACTGGTAACAGGAAGGTAACATGCAGGTAACAGGCAGGTAACAGGCAGGTAACAGGCCGGTAACAGGCCGGTAACAGGCCGGTAACATGCAGGTAACATACTGGTAACAGGAAGGTAACATGCAGGTAACAGGCAGGTAACAGGCAGGTAACAGGCCGGTAACAGGCAGGTAACATACTGGTAACAGGAAGGTAACATGCAGGTAACAGGCAGGTAACAGGCAGGTAACAGGCCGGTAACAGGCAGGTAACAGGCAGGTAACAGGCCGGTAACAGGCCGGTAACAGGCCGGTAACAGGCAGGTAACAGGCCGGTAACAGGCCAGTAACAGGCCGGTAACATGCAGGTAACATGCAGGTAACAGGCAGGTAACAGGCAGGTAACAGTGACCTCAGCCTACTGTCTGATTGGACGTTACCTGCAGTGTTTCCCGCAGGACGTAGGCAATCTGGGACTCAGTCAGTGGGCCAGTGACTGAAAGACAAAACAACACGATCAGTGTCCATATGCAGCCTCCATCCCAGTGCATGCTGGGACAGTGAAAACACACTGTCAGGTGACCTGCAGTGAGGGGGCGGTGCTTGAGATGTGTGTGAACTGACTGTAGTTTCACTCATTATATGTCTGCAGGGAGTCAGGCTGCGGTCTGCCTCGGCCTCCTCTCTCCACAGGGGGGGGGGATTATATCAGACTGGCGGGGGGTCTGGGGGTCGCCCCCGGTCACCTTCGGCATTGCAGTGAGGTGTAATGAGGCCGAGCGGCCGCCGTTCCACCGCTCATTAAAGCTCGCTGACGACAACTAGACACCCTCGGGTCTCACCGACATCGCCTTAACGAGCCCGGGCCCTAACGAGCAGAGACATGAAGGCAGTGTGGGTGTCGTCATGGCGACAGGGACGGCTGAAGATTTAAAGATGGCCGCCTCAGAATGACCCCTCATTACTGAACAGAGATCAGATGCTGGAGGCTTTCAAAGCCGCAGGAAGGGAAACAGTTTGTTTTTTGGATCCTTTAGTGCAGGGGTCGGCAAATAACGCTGACATCGGGCCACATTTTTTCCAGCCATTAGGCTACATGGCGGGCCAGAACATTACTTCATCAAATTATTTCCCATTCTTGGATGCTCATCTGCACGTCCAGCTCAGTGGGTCAAGTGCAGGACTCCCGTTGGAGGAGTTCCATAATCGATCCCAAAATCTGGCAGACTTTTTTTTCTCTGTTAAACAAATTGATCAGCCTATTAGGACACTTTTGCACATTTTTTAAATATGTGCTGCAGTGCTGTGCATGTCCCGGCGTTTGATCCGCATTCATAAACCTGTGGACACTATTTTTCATTTCACTGAGGAAATTCAGGGGAATCCAATCAGACCTTTACTTTTTCAGAGGTTTGTCAAGAAAGCCAGAGACTCTTTCGAACGTCCTTCAGAACCTTTCAAAGTAAAAGCTCTCAATCACCTCAACATGAAGCATTGCTGCAAAAAACATTCTCACGCTTTTATTTTGGAGGCACAATCACTGATTAGTGATTATGTGAGTAACTGTAGCTGTCATGCACCAGCCGCTATCAATTTATTTATTTTTTATTTTTCTGCTATCAAAGTAATCTGGCCACCTATTGCCGACCACTGCTTTGAAGTCTGGCGGAGGGTTCGGTTCCTCAGTCCGATCGGGTCAGAAACTCTGTGAGCCAACAGTACAGGCACCATCTGTCTGTTGGTTCAGAAAAGTTAAACTGTGTTCTGTTTTTTTCATCGAACCTCTTCTGCTCCAAACTTTCCATCTGCCGGTGAAAAGAACAGCGAAGAAGAAGAAGCTTCTCCAAGAAAACATAAAAACCCATTTATATAACAAAGTTATCTCGTGTCACGTTCCTTTCAGAGCAGGTCCACATCATTCTCTGTGTAATATTACTTACAACAGTTCCCACCGTGAGCAGAACCGGGCCAAGGAGGCCGGAACAGCTCCCTTTAACAGGCAGAAACCTGGAGCAGAACCTGGACTCTGTCAGCTGAGCTACACACCACTGGATATGTACAACAGCTGCATCATTAAACGATGTGGGCTTTGTAGATCATTGGCAAACTTTCTGGGGAAGACCTGGTCTGATCCGGAGAGACGGCATCCATCCCACTTGGGAAGGAGCAGCTCTCATTTCTAGAAATCTGGCCAAGTTTATTAGTGGACCAAATCCATGACAACCCAGAGTTGAGACCAGGAGGCAGAGTCGCAGTTTAACACACTTCTCTGCTCCTCCATTTCAGGAGTTACTTAGTGAAAATCCTATAGTGACGGTGTCTGCCTCCCGACCATCGAAATTATTTAAAAAGGTAAACAGAAGAGGAGCTGTGCATAAAAACCTCATAAAAATTAAAACCACAAGAGCAATAGTGCAAACAAATAGGAGAGTTAAATGTGGACTCTTAAACATCAGATCTCTCTCTTCTAAAGGTGTACTAGTAAATGAACTAATATCAGATTATGATATTGATTTATTTGGTCTTACTGAAACCTGGCTGGGTGATGGAGAATATGTTAGCCTAAATGAATCCACCCCTCCCAGTCATATTAATACTCACATTCCTCGAGGCACAGGCTGAGGAGGTGGAGTTGCAGCTATCTTCCACTCTAGCCTACTAATCAGCTCTAAACCTAAATTAAACTATAACTCATTTGAAAACCTTGTTCTTAGTCTTTCGCACCCAAGTTGGAAATCACTGCAACCACTTCTTTTTGTTATAGTGTACCGAGCATCTGGCCCGTACTCTGAATTCTTATCTGAATTTGCAGAGTTTTTGTCAACTTTAGTCCTTAAAATAGACAAAGTTATTATTGTAGGGGATTTTAATATTCATGTGGATGTTGAGAATGACAGCTTCAGTACTGCGTTTATCTCTCTGTTAGATTCCATCGGCTTCTCTCAGAGTGTTCATGAACCGACTCACTGTTTTAACCACACCCTCGACCTTGTTTTGGTGTATGGTATTGAAATTGAACATTTAGTGGTGTTCCCACAGAATCCCTCTTTATCCGACCACTGTTTGATAACTTTTGAGTTTGTATTGCTGAACTACTCGCCATTGGGCAAAACTTTCTATACAAGATGTCTGTCTGATAGTGCTGAAGCTAAATTTAAGGAACGCGATTCCATCAGCTCTAAATACATTATCTAGTCACAAAGTAACAGAGGACTCCTATGCTAATTTCAGTCAGTCCCAAATCGATCATCTTGTTGATAGTGCTGCAGGCTCGCTGCGAATGACACTGGACTCTGTAGCCCCTCTAAAAAAGAAAATACTAAAACAAAGACGGTTAGCTCCATGGTATAATACTGAAACTCGCAAATTAAAGCAAATATCGCGGAAACTTGAAAGGAATTGGCGTTCCACCAAAGTGGAAAATTGTCGTTTAATTTGGCAAGATAGTCTTAAAACTTATAGGAAGGCCCTCCGTAATGCCAGAGCAGCGTACTACTCGTCATTAATAGAGGAAAATAGGAACAACCCCAGGTTTCTTTTCAGCACTGTAGCCAGGCTGACAGAGAGTCACAGCTCTATTGAGCCAAGTATTCCCATAGCTCTCAGTAGTTACGACTTCATGAGCTTCTTTAATGATAAAATTCTTACTATTAGAGACAAAATTCACCAAGACCTGCCCTCAACTGGCACCAACTTATCTCTAAACTCAGGAACCTTAGAAACAGCTGTAGAACCAGATACATGTTTAGACTGTTTTGCTTCCCTCAATCTTTACCAACTAACTTCAATAATTTCTTCATCTAAACCATCAACCTGCCTCTTAGACCCCATCCCGACTAGGCTGCTTAAAGATGTTTTACCCTTAGTCAGCACTTCTATACTAGATATGATCAATCTATCTCTATCAACAGGCTATGTACCACAGTACTTTAAAGTAGCTGTAATTAAACCTCTTCTGAAAAAGCCCAAACTTGATCCGGATGTTTTAGCCAACTATAGACCTATATCTAACCTTCCATTTCTCTCTAAGCTTCTGGAGAAAGCAGTTGCTAAACAGCTGTGTGACTTTCTACAGAGCAATAGTTTATTTGAGGATTTTCAGTCAGGATTTAGAGCTCATCATAGCACAGAGACAGCACTGGTGAAAAACGACCTCCTTATTGCATCAGACAAAGGACTTGTCTCTGTACTGGTTTTATTAGATCTTAGTGCTGCATTTGATACCATTGACCATCAGATCCTATTGCAGAGACTGGAATATTTCATTGGCATTAAAGGAACCGCTCTAAGCTGGTTTAAGTCCTATTTATCAGATCGATTTCAGTTTGTACATGTTAACGATGAGTCCTCCATGCACGCCAAAGTTACTCATGGAGTTCCTCAAGGATCTGTCCACGGACCAATCCTCTTCACTTTATATTTGCTTCCTTTAGGCAATATTATCAGGAAATATTCCATAAGTTTTCATTGTTATGCAGATGATACTCTCTATCTATCGATCAAGCCAGATGAAACTCATCAGTTAGCTAAACTTCAAATGTGCCTTCAGGATGTTAAAACCTGGATGACCTGTAATTTTCTAATGTTAAATTCAGATAAAACTGAAGTTATTGTTCTGGGGCCTAAGCACCTCCGTGACGCATTATATAAAGATATAGTTTCCCTTGATGGCATCGCCCTGGCCTCCAGCACCACTGTGAGGAATCTTGGAGTTATCTTTGATCAGGACATGTCGTTTAAGTCTCACATTAAGCAAATTTCAAGGACCGCCTTTTTTCACCTACGTAATATTGCGAAAATCAGGAACATCCTGTCTAAAAATGATGCAGAAAAACTAGTCCATGCATTTGTTACTTCTAGGCTGGATTACTGCAATTCCTTATTATCAGGCTGCTCGAAAAAGTCCATTAAGACTCTTCAGCTGATCCAGAATGCTGCACGTGTTCTGACAGGAACCAGGAAAAGAGATCACATTTCTCCTGTTTTAGCGTCTCTGCATTGGCTTCCAGTAAAATCCAGAATAGAATTTAAAATCATTCTTCTTACCTACAAAGCTCTTAATGGTCAGGCACCATCTTATCTTAAAGAGCTCATAGTACCTTACTACCCCACCAGAGCACTGCGCTCCCAGAATGCACCTGTGGTTCCCAGAGTCTCCAAAAGTAGACTAGGAGCCAGAGCGTTCAGCTATCAAGCTCCTCTCCTGTGGAACCAGGTTCCAGTTTGGGTTCAGGAGGCAGACACCATCTCCACATTTAAGAGTAGGCTTAAGACTTTCCTCTTTGATAAAGCTTATAGTTAGGGCTGGCTCAGGTGAGTCCTGAACCATCCCTTAGTTATGCTGCTATAGGCCTAGACTGCATTGAATTGAATCATTACCACATCACATGTACATTATAATATTAAACCTCAGCACGATCAGAGGTTCAGACAGGTGAGGCTCACCTGTGAGTAAAAACTTCAAATCCACCAGCCAGAATTAATTAATTCAGAAATCCTCCAAAGGGAGTTTAGAAAAGTGCCTTTGATTTGAACACAGTCAGTGAATCTAGCAGAAACCCTTCAGGTGAATCACCTCCTGACAGAAGTTAGAGAGGAGGCCCCTCATTCGGCCACGGCCCTCAACAAACAGCACAACACGTCAGACTAAAGGCATGCTGCTGCTCTGAGGAGCCTCCAGGTTTAAATCCCTGTCTGTGTTAGTTCCTGTTTTATTTTGAAACGATTCTTCCTGGTGTCTGAACTTGTACTTCCTGTCTCTGTGTTCTCCCTGGCTCAGTGTTTGCCCCTGTCCTACCGTACCGTTTTGTGTCTGCACTCGGCAGTCACGGCATTTAAAGGGGAAGAAGATGTGACAACAGACCAGCTGATCGGTGACGGACTGTCCAAATGAGTTTTGGGTCAGTGCTTAGGGTTTGTTGGGTCGGTCTGAAGGAAGTGACATAGGCAAACGTGTGTCTCACTGTGGTAGATGTCCTGAAGTGATCCTCCTCCACAGAACTCCATACAGATCCACAACTTCTCCCTGCTGCACACACACACACGGATGATGGTGAAATGTTTGACCAGTTTAAAACAGAACTGGGCGACAACAACAATGGTGAGTCTGGTTGGTTGGTTTGGAGTCTGGTTGGTTGGTTGGTTTGGAGTCAGGTTGGGTAGTTTGAAGTCTGGTTGGTTGGTTTAGAGTCTGGTTGGTTGGTTGGTTTGGAGTCTGGTTGGTTGGTTGGTTTGGAGTCTGGTTGGTTAGTTTGGAGTCTGGTTGGTTTGGAGTCTGGTTAGTTGGTTTGGAGTCTGGTTGGGTGGTTGGTTGGTTAGTTTGGAGTCTAGTTGGTTAGTTTGGAATCTGGTTGGTTAGTTTGAAGTCTGGTTGGTTGGTTTAGAGTCTGGTTGGTTGGTTGGTTTGGAGTCTGGTTGGTTGGTTGGTTGGTTTGGAGTCTGGTTGGTTGGTTGGTTGGTTTGGAGTCTGGTTGGTTAGTTTGGAGTCTGGTTGGTTTGGAGTCTGGTTAGTTGGTTTGGAGTCTGGTTGGCTGGTTTGGAGTCTGGTTGGCTGGTTTGGAGTCTGGTTGGCTGATTTGGAGTCTGGTTTGTTAGTTTGCAGTCTGGTTGGTTGGTTGGTTTAGAGTCTGGTTGGTTGGCTGGTTTGGAGTCTGGTTGCTTAGTTTGGAGTCTGGTTGGTTGGTTGGTGAATTTGGAGTCTGGTTGGTTAGTTTGAAGTCTTGTTAGTTGGTTTGGAGTCTGGTTGGCTGGTTTGGAGTCTGGTTGGCTGATTTGGAGTCTGGTTTGTTAGTTTGCAGTGTGGTTGGTCGGTTGGTTTAGAGTCTGGTTGGCTGGCTGGTTTGGAGTCTGGTTGGTTGGTTGGTTGGTCTGGAGTCTGGTTGGTTAGTTTGGAGTCTGGTTGGTTGGTTGGTTAGTTTGGAGTCTGGTTGGTTAGTTTGAAGTCTGGTTAGTTGGTTTGGAGTCTGGTTGGTTGGCTGGTTTGGAGTCTGGTTGGTTGGTTGGTTGGTCTGGAGTCTGGTTGGTTAGTTTGGAGTCTGGTTGGTTGGTTGGTTAGTTTGGAGTCTGGTTGGTTAGTTTGGAATCTGGCTGGTTAGTTTGGAGTCTGGTTGGTCTGGTTGGTTGGCTGGTTTGGAGTCTGTTTGGTTGGTTGGTTGGTTAGTTTGGAGTCTGGTTGGTTAGTTTGGAATCTGGCTGGTTAGTTTGGAGTCTGGTTGGTCTGGTTGGTTGGCTGGTTTGGAGTCTGTTTGGTTGGTTGGTTGGTTAGTTTGGAGTCTAGTTGGTTAGTTTGGAATCTGGTTGGTTGGTTTGGAGTCTGGTTGGTTGGCTGGTTTGGAGTCTGGTTGGCTGGCTAGTTTGGAGTCTGGTTGGCTGGCTGGTTTGGAGTCTGGTTGGTTGGTTGGTTGGTCTGGAGTCTGGTTGGTTAGTTTGGAGTCTGGTTGGTTGGTTGGTTAGTTTGGAGTCTGGTTGGTTAGTTTGAAGTCTGGTTGGTTAGTTTGAAGTCTGGTTGGTTAGTTTGGAGTCTGGTTGGTTTGGAGTCTGGTTGGTTGGCTGGTTTGGAGTCTGGTTGGCTGGCTAGTTTGGAGTCTGGTTGGCTGGCTGGTTTGGAGTCTGGTTGGTTGGCTGGTTCGGAGTCTGGTTGGTTGGCTGGTTCGGAGTCTGGTTGGTTGGCTGGTTCGGAGTCTGGTTGGTTGGTTGGTTTGGAGTCTGGTTGGTTAGTTTGGAGTCTGGTTGGTTGGTTGGTTTGGAGTCTGGTTGGTTAGTTTGAAGTCTGGTTAGTTGGTTTGGAGTCTGGTTGGCTGGCTGGTTTGGAGTCTGGTTGGCTGGCTGGTTTGGAGTCTGGTTGGTTGGTTGGTTAGTTTGGAGTCTGGTTGGTTGGCTGGTTTGGAGTCTGGTTGGTTGGTTGGTTTGGAGTCTGGTTGGTTAGTTTGAAGTCTGGTTAGTTGGTTTGGAGTCTGGTTGGCTGGCTGGTTTGGAGTCTGGTTGGCTGGCTGGTTTGGAGTCTGGTTGGCTGGCTGGTTTGGAGTCTGGTTGAGTCGTTGGTTAGTTTGGAGTCTGGTTGGTTGGCTGTTTTGGAGTCTGGTTGGTTGGTTGGTTTGGAGTCTGGTTGGTTAGTTTGAAGTCTGGTTAGTTGGTTTGGAGTCTGATTGGCTGGCTGGTTTGGAGTCTGGTTGGCTGGCTGGTTTGGAGTCTGGTTGAGTCGTTGGTTAGTTTGGAGTCTGGTTGGTTAGTTTGGAGTCTGGTTGGTTAGTTTGGAGTCTGGTGGGGTGGTTGGTTAGTTTGAAGTCTGGTTAGTTGGTTTGGAGTCTGGTTGGTTGGTTGGTTTGGAGTCTGGTTGGGTAGTTTGAAGTCTGGTTGGTTGGTTTAGAGTCTTGTTGGTTGGTTGGTTTGGAGTCTGGTTGGTTGGTTAGTTTGGAGTCTGGTTGGGTAGTTTGAAGTCTGGTTGGTTGGTTTAGAGTCTTGTTGGTTGGTTGGTTTGGAGTCTGGTTGGTTAGTTTGGAGTCTGGTTGGTTTGGAGTTTGGTTAGTTGGTTTGGAGTCTGGTTGGGTGGTTGGTTAGTTTGGAGTCTGGTTGGTTGGTTGGTTGGTTAGTTTGGAGTCTAGTTGGTTAGTTTGGAATCTGGTTGTTTAGTTTGAAGTCTGGTTGGTTGGTTTAGAGTCTGGTTGGTTGGTTAGTTTGGAGTCTGGTTGGTTTGGAGTCTGGTTAGTTGGTTTGGAGTCTGGTTGGGTGGTTGGTTAGTTTGGAGTCTGGTTGGTTGGTTAGTTTGGAGTCTAGTTGGTTAGTTTGGAATCTGGTTGGTTAGTTTGAAGTCTGGTTGGTTGGTTTAGAGTCTGGTTGGTTGGTTGGTTTGGAGTCTGGTTGGTTGTTTTGGAGTCTGGTTGGCTGGTTTGGAGTCTGGTTGGCTGGTTTGGAGTCTGGTTGGCTGGTTTGGAGTCTGGTTTGTTAGTTTGCAGTCTGGTTGGTTGGTTGGTTTAGAGTCTGGTTGGTTGGCTGGTTTGGAGTCTGGTTGGTTGGTTGGTTAGTTTGAAGTCTGGTTAGTTGGTTTGGAGTCTGGTTAGTTGGCTGGTTTGGAGTCTGGTTGATTGGTTGGTCTGGAGTCTGGTTGGTTAGTTTGGAGTCTGGTTGGTTGGTTTGGAGTCTGGTTGGTTAGTTTGGAGTCTGGTTGGTTTGGAGTCTGGTTGGTTGGTTGGTTAGTTTGGAGTCTGGTTGGTTGGTTTAGAGTCTGGTTGGTTGGTTGGTTGGTTTGGAGTCTGGTTGGTTAGTTTGGAGTCTGGTTGGTTTGGAGTCTGGTTAGTTGGTTTGGAGTCTGGTTGGTTGTTTTGGAGTCTGGTTGGCTGGTTTGGAGTCTGGTTGGCTGGTTTGGAGTCTGGTTAGTTGGTTTGGAGTCTGGTTGGTTGTTTTGGAGTCTGGTTGGTTAGTTTGGAGTCTGGTTGGTTTGGAGTCTGGTTAGTTGGTTTGGAGTCTGGTTGGTTGTTTTGGAGTCTGGTTGGCTGGTTTGGAGTCTGGTTGGCTGGTTTGGAGTCTGGTTTGTTCGTTTGCAGTCTGGTTGGTTGGTTGGTTTGGAGTCTGGTTGGTTGGTTTAGAGTCTGGTTGGTTGGTTTAGAGTCTGGTTGGTTGGTTTGGAGACTGGTTGGCTGTTTTGTAGATGTTACCGGAGGTAGCTGCCGTAGTACGCCACAATGTTGGAGTGTTTACAGTCCTTCATCATGGTGATCTCCTGCTGCACCACAGCAAAGTCCTCACCTACAGACACACAGAGAAAACACAGAACTGAGTTCAGTTCTGAGCTCAGTACTCACAGTACATGAGTCTGAGTGGTCCCCTCCCACTTCACATCTCTATAGTAACTACATGGGACTCCATAGCAAGCACCTGATACTGACCCAATCAGCCAGGTGACCCTTCAGCTCCTTTCAGACGAATTCAAATGTCTGAAACTCTCTGATTGAATGATTTACAGCAATGCTCTCTGGGACTTCTGTAACCTCTGACCTTTTGTTTTTCTTTAACACATCAGACAGAAAACATGCAGTGACATGTGGAGCTGAAAGGTGATGCATTAATTAGTCAGTCCACAGAAAAATAAAACTTGGTTGACAATCGTGTCAGTCCTTTTTCCACCTTCACCAGTTCAGCTTCTCATTTCAGCTTTTCTCTGATTTATATCTCAGTAAACTTTTAGGGTTTGGGACTGTTGGTCGAACAAAACATCACACTGGAGTATTTTCTGATACTCCAGTGGTGCAGATTCTGTATAGACAAACCAATTCTCTGATCCATCAAGAAGCTGATGGGCTGATCAATTGATAATGAAAATGCATTTTGTTTGTTGTTTGTTGATGATCTACCGACTCTGCACCTGTCCAGCAGGTAAACTCTTACTCTTCTGCTCAGTATGCAGACGGAGTTGCAGGTGTTTCTGTTATTTTGTCCACAGCTGAATGTGCTCATCATGTCAGAGCTGAGAATAAAAGAGAACAAAGAGTCTTTGTTGTGGATCTTTGCTGCCGCAGGCTTCAGGCCTCATTAGAGCTCCACCGTCCTCCAGCTGATCAGAATAATAAACACAGGATTTATGTAACGTCTCGTTAAAACAGAAGCTCTGCTGTGAGCTGATGCTGGAGGAGAGCTCTCACTCTGCTGCTGGAAATCAGTTTTCCTCCCCGAGAAATAACAAAAACTCACAATGAAATTCAGGTTTTACCTCTGACAGCTGTAACTCTGACATCCAACTCTTCCACACCGAGCTCGTCCAACCTGTGTCCGTCAACGTCCACCATCCTCAAACATGGTCAACATACGGCGGTGGCAACAGGAACTTCCTGTCTCCTCCGACTCTGATGATCTGCTGTTACTAACAAATGTTTGTGATTCACAGAACAGATTCTGAACTCTGCAGTGATTTCAGATCAGAGACGTGTTTATTCCTGCAGCGACCAACCTCGACTGATTCTGTTAAAATCCTCCTGCAGGACAGAGACGGCTGCTGGATCAGCACCACACACCCCCATCAGTGACCAGCCTATCCTCAGGTCGACCTCTATACAACCAATCAGTCCCCACCTCAGGTCCACCTTTAGATGAGCCTCGCCTCTGGTCCACCTTAAAACCAGCCTTGCCTCCAGTCCACCTTTATACATCTAATCAGACTCAGTCACCACTTCAAGTCCACTTTAAAACACGCCTCTCCTCCTGTCCACCTTATACAACCAATCAGTCACCACCTCAGGTCCACTTTTAGACGAGCCTCGCCTCCGATCCACCTTAAAACAAGCTTCCCCTCCAATCCACCTTATACAACCAATCAGTCACCACCTCAGGTCCACCTTTAGATGAGCCTCGCCTCTGGTCCACCTTAAAACCAGCCTTGCCTCCAGTCCACCTTTATACATCTAATCAGACTCAGTCACCACTTCAAGTCCACTTTAAAACACGCCTCTCCTCCTGTCCACCTTATACAACCAATCAGTCACCACCTCAGGTCCACTTTTAGACGAGCCTCGCCTCCGATCCACCTTAAAACAAGCTTCCCCTCCAATCCACCTTATACAACCAATCAGTCACCACCTCAGGTCCACTTTTAGACGAGCCTCGCCTCCGATCCACCTTAAAACAAGCCTCCCCTCCAATCCACCTTATACAACCAATCAGTCACCACCACAGGTCCACTTTTAGACGAGCCTCGCCTCCGATCCACCTTAAAACAAGCCTCCCCTCCAATCCACCTTATACAACCAATCAGTCACCACCTCAGGTCCACTTTTAGACGAGCCTCGCCTCCGATCCACCTTAAAACAAGCCTCCCCTCCAATCCACCTTATACAACCAATCAGTCACCACCACAGGTCCACTTTTAGACGAGCCTCGCCTCCGATCCACCTTTATACATCTAATCAGACTCATTCAACACCTCAGGTCCCCCTTAAAACAAGCCTTGCCTCCAGTCCACCTTTAAACCAGCCTATCCTCCGGTCCACCTTTATACAACCAATCAGTCTCCACCTCCGGTCCACCTTACAACAATTGAAATACACAGTCACAAGTCAGACTGATCTCCTCCCGGCTCTCCAGAGGATGAACCAATTAGATTCAGTGGTTCTTAACCTGGGGGTCGGGACCCCCTGGGGGTCGCCACCTGGTCCCAGGAGGGTCGCGAGAATGCTACTATAGACACAAAAATAGGAAAAACAAAACCTTTAAAATAACTAGACGGACTACAGGTGCTGGTCATATAATTAGAATATCATCAAAAAGTTGATTTATTTCAGTAATTCCATTCAAAAAGTGAAACTTGTATAATGTATACATTCATTCCAAACAGACTGATATATTTCAAGTGTCCATTCCTTTTAATTTTGATGATTATAACTGACAACTAATGAAAACCCCAAAATCAGTATCTCAGAAAATTAGAATATTGTGAAAAGGTTCTATATTGAAGACACCTGGTGCCACACTCTAATCAGCTAATTAACTCAAAACACCTGCAAAGGCCTTTAAATGGTCTCTCAGTCTCGTTCTGTAGGCTACACAATCATGGGGAAGACTGCTGACTTGACAGCTGTCCAAAAGACGACCATCGACACCTTGCACAAGGAGGGCAAGACACAAAAGGTCATTGCTAAAGAGGCTGGCTGTTCACAGAGCTCTGTGTCCAAGCACATTAATAGAGAGGTGAAGGGAAGGAAAAGATGTGGTAGAAAAAAGTGTACAAGCAATAGGGATAACCGCACCCTGGAGAGGATTGTGAAACAAAACCCATTCAAAAATATATGCATGCAAGACATGGGTTTCAGCTGTCGCTTTCCTTATGTCAAGCCACTCCTGAACAAGACACAGCGTCAGAAGCGTCTCGCCTGGGCTAAAGACAAAAAGGACTGGACTGCTGCTGAGTGGTCCAAAGTTATGTTCTCTGATGAAAGTAAATTTTGCATTTCCTTTGGAAATCAAGGTCCCAGAGTCTGGAGGAAGAGAGGAGAGCCACAGAATCCACGTTTCTTGAAGTCCAGTGTAAAGTTTCCACAGTCAGTGATGGTTTGGGGTGCCATGTCATCTGCTGGTGTTGGTCCACTGTGTTTTCTGAGGTCCAAGGTCAACACAGCCGTCTACCAGGAAGTTTTAGAGCACTTCATGCTTCCTGCTGCTGACCAACTTTATGGAGATGCAGATTTCATTTTCCAACAGGACTTGACACCTGCACACAGTGCCAAAGCTACCAGTACCTGGTTTAAGGACCATGGTATCCCTGTTCTTAATTGGCCAGCAAACTGGCCTGACCTTAACCCTATAGAAAATCTATGAGGTATTGTGAAGAGGAAGATGCGATACGCCAGACCCAACAATGCAGAAGAGCTGAAGGCCACTATCAGAGCAACCTGGGCTCTCATAACACCTGAGCAGTGCCACAGACTGATGGACTCCATGCCACGCCGCATGATGTACTGCGGTAAGCGTGTCGACTCATTTCTGTTTCCGGTGCTTGTGTGTTGGTACCGTGTGGTGCTGCTCTCGCTAAATACCAGCTACATTTGTTAGATTACAGCAGCCAACTGTCTGCTAAACACTTATTCTTTACAGTAATTTTGCCTAAGCACTCACAGTTCTTTCCATCTTTTAGTGACTGCTGTTCAATCTCATAGTTGTTCTAAAGTTTTGGTAGCTGACGCTACAGTAATTTAGCTTAGCCGTTAGCGACTTTAGCTTAGCAGCTAGCGATGGCTTCTCCTTCTCCCTCTCTCTCTCCCACTTTCTCCTGCTCGGTGTGTCAGCTGTTCAGTTACTCCTCTGCCTCCTTTAGCGGTAATGGTACATGTAATAAGTGTAGTTTATTTATAGACATGGAGACGAGACTCAGTGATTTAGAAGTCCGGCTCCGCACCTTGGTAGATCAGTCTTTAGCTACTGTAGCTAGCCAGTCCCCGGTAGTCTGTGCGGAACGGCCTGAGTTAGCCTCTGGTAGCCGTCCCCCGGAATCTCCTGAGCAGCCAGGAAAGGGGGGGGGCTGGGTGACTGTCCGAAGGAGGGATAGTCGTAAGCATTCAAAGTCCACGGGGCACCATCAACCTGTTCACGTTTCTAACAGATTTTCCCCACTCAGCGACACACCCGCTGAGAAACCAACTCTGATCATTGGCAGCTTCATTTTGAGAAACGTGAAGTTAGCGAAGCCAGCGGCCATAGTTAAGTGCATCCCTGGGGCCAGAGCGGGCAACACTGAGTCTTATTTGAAACTGCTGGCTAAGGATAAACGTAAATACAGTAAGACTGTTATTCACGTCAGCGGTCAATCGGAGGTCACTAAGATTAATGTTGAGTCGGTGTGTACATATGCAAAAACAATGTCGGACACCGTAGTTTTCTCTGGACCCCTGCCAAATCTGACCAGTGATGACATGTATAGCCGTATGTCGTCATTCCGCCGCTGGTTGTCGAGGTGGTGTCCAGCAAACAATGTGGGCTTTGTAGATCATTGGCAGACTTTCTGGGGAAGACCTGGTCTGATCCGGAGAGACGGCATCCATCTCAAGGAGCAGCTCTCATTTCTAGAAATCTGGCCAAGTTTATTAGTGGACCAGTCCTATTTATCAGATCGATTTCAGTTTGTACATGTTAACGATGAGTCCTCCATGCACGCCAAAGTTAGTCATGGAGTTCCTCAAGGATCTGTCCTCGGACCAATCCTTGTCCAATCCTTGTCCAATCCAATCCCACTTTATATATGCTTCCTTTAGGCAATATTATCAGGAAATATTCCACAAGCTTTCATTGTTATGCAGATGATACTCAGTTATATCTTTCGATCAAACCAGATGAAACTCATCAGTTAGCTAAACTTCAAATGTGCCTTCAGGATGTTAAAACCTGGATGACCTGTAATTTTCTAATGTTAAACTTAGATAAAACTGAATTTATTGTTCTGGGGCCTAAGCACCTCCTTGACGCATTATCTAAAGATATAGTTTCCCTTGATGGCATCGCCCTGGCCTCCAGCACCACTGTGAGGAATCTTGGAGTTATCTTTGATCAGGACATGTCATTTAAGTCTCACATTAAGCAAATTTCAAGGACCGCCTTTTTTCACCTACGTAATATTGCGAAAATCAGGAACATCCTGTCTAAAAATGATGCAGAAAAACTAGTCCATGCATTTGTTACTTCTAGGCTGGATTACTGCAATTCCTTATTATCAGGCTGCTCGAAAAAGTCCATTAAGACTCTTCAGCTGATCCAGAATGCTGCAGCTCGTGTTCTGACAGGAACCAGGAAAAGAGATCATATTTCTCCTGTCTTAGCTTCTTTGCATTGGCTTCCAGTAAAATCCAGAATAGAATTTAAAATCATTCTTCTTACCTACAAAGCTCTTAATGGTCAGGCACCATCTTATCTTAAAGAGCTCATAGTACCTTACTACCCCACCAGAGCACTGCGCTCCCAGAATGCAGGGTTACTTGTGGTTCCTAGAGTCTCCAAAAGTAGACTAGGAACCAGGTTCCAGTTTGGGTTCAGGAGGCAGACACCATCTCCACATTTAAGAGTAGGCTTAAGACTTTCCTCTTTGATAAAGCTTATAGTTAGGGCTGGCTCAGGTGAGTCCTGAACCATCCCTTAGTTATGCTGCTATAGGCCTAGACTGCCGGGGGATTTCCCATGATGCACTGAGCTCCTCTCTCCTCTACTTTCTCTCCCTCTGTATGGAACCTCATCCCATTATTGCATGTTACTAACACAACTTCTCCCCTTTCCGGTAGTCTTGTGCTTTTTCGTCCCTCTCCTCTCTCCTCCTATCACTTCCTGCAGGTGTTTCTGGCTCTGGAGCTATGGAGTCTGAATCTGTGGTTGCGGGTCACCTGCTGCCCCCGTGTTCCTGCTCGACACCCTCTGTTGCAACGACTATTGTTACTAGTCTTATTATTGTTATTATAATCTTTAACATTACGATTGCTATCATTGCCTCCCCCCCCCCCCCCTTCACCCCCAACCGGTGGAGGCAGATGGCCGCCCACCCTGAGTCATGGCTCTGCTCGAGGTTTCTGCCTCTTAAAGGAAGTTTTTCCTTGCCTCTGTCTCCTAGTGCTGCTCTTGGTGGGAACTGTTGGGCTTCTGTAAATATCATCACAGAATACGGTCTAGACCTGCTCTTTATGAAAAGCGCTGTGAGATAACTGTTGTTGTGGTTTGGCACTACATAAATAAAATTGAATTGAAAAACCTGTATAGTTGTGAGTGGAATCACCTTGGGTGTAAATAGTTTCCACGGGTTAATCCAGTAGGTGGAGGTGATGCCAACCGCCATGAAACACCAAAGAAGTAAAAGAATGAAAAAAAGTCCCATAAGTGAGTAGGATGGAGGTGTATGTGTTGGGGGAGGGGGGTCGCGAAATATTTTCAACCTCAAAAAGGGTTCGGACTGCCAGAAAGGGTAAGAACCACTGCATTAGATGTTAATAGGTGGGTTTGACTTCATGCTGCGCAGTGCTGACTTAACGTGATGCATGCTGGACTTAAAATAAGGCAAGCTGGTTAGAAATTGTGTCCGACTTTCACCGGCGCTGCAAAACGTCACCATGTCACATGACATTAAAACCTTGCGGGGGCAAGCCAGATGCAGGCGCCGATTCCGGCGGCCGCAGTTGCTTTTCCACGGCTGCACCAAGTTGGAACAACACTATTGCCTGGTCATCAGTCATTGATTTCAGCTCACAGTAAGCTCGCGTAGGTAGAATGTATCCGACTTGACGGCGTTTTTATTCCCCGCCCCTGCAGTCACCTGCAGCACACGTTAGACCAAGTCAGCCGCCGTCATCTCGATGATCAGGATGCTGTTTGTAATGCAGCCTGCAGGGGGCGCTGCGTGCAGGGCTTAATGAAAATATCAGTGTCCTCATAAAGACAGTGATACAGCAGGATGCTCTGAGACTGTGTGTGTGTTAACCTGCAGAATGATAAACACCTGATCAGTATTCACTGGATATATATCACACACCCACATACAGTAACACAGTTCTGCAGTTGTCTTCATTAGTTTCTATAGCCTGATCATCAAATGGGGAGCCTCAGGATACACACAGTAACACACACACACAGTGCGATGCAGCTGGACCCCCTGCAGACTGCTGCAGTCTGCCTGCACTGATTAATGAGGAGGATGAAGATGATGAAGAGCTGCATCACTGAAGTGAAAACGTCTCAATCATCTGTCAAAACTAACCTACTACGTCTTCAGGAAGTCACCGCAACAACAATGTAACTTCACAAGAGACAGAAAGCTGAAGAGACCTGACAACACGTTGATTCACTGCAGTGGGTACAGTGGGGCTCGCAGTGCATTGTGGGAAGATAATTGCATGTCATGTGATGCAGTGGTGATTGACTGCAGTGGGTACAGTGGGGCACGCAGTGCATTGTGGGAAGATAATTGCATGTGATGTGATGTGATGCAGTGGTGATTGACTGCAGTGGGTACAGTGGGGCTCGCAGTGCATTGTGGGAAGATAATTGCATGTCATGTGATGCAGTGGTGATTGACTGCAGTGGGTACACAGTGGGGCTCGCAGTGCATTGTGGGAAGATAATTGCATGTGATGTGATGCAGTGGTGATTGACTGCAGTGGGTACACAGTGGGGCTCGCAGTGCATTGTGGGAAGATAATTGCATGTGATGTGATGCAGTGGTGATTGACTGCAGTGGGTACAGTGGGGCTCGCAGTGCATTGTGGGAAGATAATTGCATGTGATATGAAGCTATGCAGTGGTGATTGACTGCAGTGGGTACAGTGGGGCACGCAGTGCATTGTGGGAAGATAATGGCCCGTGATGTGATGCAGTGGTGATTCACTGCAGTGGGTACAGTGGGGCTCGCAGTGCATTGTGGGAAGATAATTGCATGTGATGTGATGCAGTGGTGATTGACTGCAGTGGGTACAGTGGGGCACGCAGTGCATTGTGGGAAGATAATTGCATGTGATGTGATGCAGTGGTGATTGACTGCAGTGGGTACAGTGGGGCTCGCAGTGCATTGTGGGAAGATAATTGCATGAGATATGAAGTGATGCAGTGGTGATTGACTGCAGTGGGTACATTGGAGCACGCAGTGCATTGTGGGAAGATAATTGCATGTGATGTGATGCAGTGGTGAGTGACTGCAGTGGGTACAGTGGGGCTCGCAGTGCATTGTGGGAAGATAATTGCCTGTGATGTGATGCAGTGGTGATTGACTGCAGTGGGTACAGTGGGGCTCGCAGTGCATTGTGGGAAGATAATTGCATGTGATATGAAGCGATGCAGTGGTGATTGACTGCAGTGGGTACAGTGGGGCTCGCAGTGCATTGTGGGAAGATAATTGCATGTGATGTGATGCAGTGGTGATTGACTGCAGTGGGTACATTGGAGCACGCAGTGCATTGTGGGAAGATAATGGCCCGTGATGTGATGCAGTGGTGAGTGACTGCAGTGGGTACAGTGGGGCTCGCAGTGCATTGTGGGAAGATAATTGCCTGTGATGTGATGCAGTGGTGATTGACTGCAGTGGGTACAGTGGGGCTCGCAGTGCATTGTGGGAAGATAATGGCGCGTGATGTGACGGCAGGATGAACAGATTTTGCTGCTTTGATTCCTACCAGGCTCCAGCTTGATGACCTTGATGGCGGCCAGCTCTCCGGTGCCGACGCTCCTCGCCTGCCGACAGACAGAGATCGTTTCTTAATCATCAACATTCAACATTTCTTAATGTTTGTTCTCATGTTCCAAAGGTTCTGCAAAATGAGCTGCTCATAATAAACTTACATTTTATTAAACACAGGATCCGAAGCAGCAGCCATCAATTCATGCACACGCCCTCAGAGCTCTGTGTGTGTGTGTGTGTGTTACTGTGAGTGTGTGAGTGTGTGTGTGTGTGTTACTGTGTGTGTGTGTGTGTTACTGTGTGTGTGTGTGTGTGTGTTACTGTGTGTGTGTGTTGGCTCAACACAGTTCACTTCTTGTCACCACTGATCAATAAGATAATTATTAACGTGGATTCACCTTCCCTCAGCCTCACAGCCTCACAGCCTCACAGCCCAGTTACTCTTCCTGTCTGACCCACTGCTCACGTTCATGCTGTTGAAACCTCAGCGTGTTCAGATCGACCTCTCGTCTCTCTGCACTCCTGCTGCGCTGCTAACCTGCAGTACTTTACAGTACTGGATCTGATCTCTCAGGCTCCAGGTTTTGACCTGCCATCAGTTCAGTCCAACGGAGACAGTGTGGAGCAAGAGTTTATTAATGAAAAGCGTGCCTGAGTACTTGAGGGTTCCTGCAGTATCACAGTATCTCTTTGTGTTTCTACAGAAGGAACCTGCATGAGGCTTCTCATGTCTCTGCAGGGCCAGAAGAAGGTGACGGTGTCTGGAGGGACCGGAGGACCTGATGGAGGACAGGCTGCGCCCCATCGATCCTCCTCCGGCCTGACCTCCATCATCGCGCCGCTTCAGCACTTCAACACAGCAATGATATTCACACCTCTGAGCACACAGCCGCTCCCCAACTGAGCGGTAATTAAAACACGACCCTCTGGAAGGTGAAGCAGCAGCGTCCTGACGGTGGGTCGATACGAGCTGATGGAGCTTCGGGACGACAATCAATAACTCCTGACTAACAATGCTAATGACACGCACGCAGCGGGCCAGAGCAGAGGATCGTGGGAAACGGCCCACCCAGGTATTGATCAGTGAAGGGTGAGGGGGCGGAGTGTGTGTTGAATCACTGATGAGCTCACTGTCAGACTATGACATCACGCCGGCGTCACGCTGAGTTAACGCGGAGATCAGATCCACTCTCTCTGAGTTCTGACCCGGATCGTGTTTCACACACAAACCAAGAGAACCTAGTTCAGCTTTATTTATACAGCACCAGCAACACTTTCCAGACCGAGCAGATCCAGACTGAACACTCTGTAATATGAGACCCAACAGGCCACAGAGGCCAGGAACCTGGAGCAGAACCGGGACAGCACAAGACCACCAGAGAGGTGAGCAGTGGAGTTAGTAAGATGCATTAATACAGATGAAGAGAGAGAGGATCTCAGTGCATCATGGGAAGAGTTCTGGCAGCAAACATAAACTCATGAATGGTTCAGGATTCACTGAAGGCCGAAGGAACAGTTCTGATCATGAACAGAACCAACGTTAGTAAATCCACCACATGTTATGAGTCATCTTGACTAAGGGAGGAGCTGAACTGACGGATTCTTCTGCTGTTTTTATCATTAGTAGACCTGCCGAATGTCAACTTCCTGTCATGTGATGCTGATACTCTGAACTAAAGCTGAACCAATGAGACGATCAACAGGGGATGAGCTCAGAGCGATGGCGCTTGTTTCCACCTCCAGCACCGGCGCTTTCGACCACCAGGAGGATCAGGGTTAACCAGTCGGTACCGTTATACATCCTCCATCATGCTGATCGGTCTGCGTTCACACGTCCTACTGCTGCTGCACGCGTCCAGAACCAGAACCCACAAACGAGCAGCTCATTTTAGTTGTGTATTTCTCTGTAATGAGCTCAGCGTTAACACTACTAGTGACACCGTCCAGGGAAACCCGGGGCAGCTCCAGTCCTTCTAGTCCCAGTTTCTCTGATCAGTAACCGGATCCTGTTTATAGACTGAAATAAATGATAAACTGACCAGCTACTGATTGATACTGAAAAGGATCAATAGCTGTAGGCAGCAAACAGTCACCAGCGTCCTGCCAATCAGATGTCAAAGTCAAGGTGGGAGACTCCAGGGTGACCACGGAGGTTCTGGGGGGGTCGTGTTACAGGAAGCAGCAGAGCCCAGCAGGGACGCTGCTGAATTATTGATCAACTTAATGGACAAACTTTCAGTTTTTTCTGCCGTCACACTGAGTTTTGACTCCGTGAGGACGAGAGACGCAGTCACCTGAGATTTCCCATGAGGCCGCAGTCACCGGGACGCCAAGGATACACAACAAACCTCATCCTGGCCCACAGAGAGGGAGAGAGACCTCACTCCTCTGCTGACAGGGAGAACAGTCATCTCGTCACGCCACAAACTGAGAAGAACCTCAGAGCTCAGACCGAGAGAGAAAATAAACCTCTGTCGATGTTTGTGTCAAATAATAAATGATTGTTGTTGTTCCTCGGCAGGAGTTGTTACTGCTCGTCAAAAAGCAGAACCAAGTTTTAACGTAAATTTTGTTTTTAGTTTGTTTTCTCTTTTCTTAATTTCATTTTATTGTTTATTATGTATATTTTATTATTCATGTGACTTTCAGCTTCGGCAACAAACACCATCCCAATAACTGAATTTAACTGAACTGACAGACTCTTCGTTTCTCCTGAACCATGTTTACACGTAGTTTGACCTCATGACGTTTTCCATTGAGGTCAAGGAAAGGTGGTTAGGAAAGGAGATTTTTTTGACTTTTGAGACACAGCCCTAGACTGCTGGGGGATTTCCCATGATGCTCTGTGATGATGCTCTGTGATGATGATCTGTGGGCTGTGGATCTGTTGGGTCTGGAGCTGTGGGGTCTGGATCTGGGGGGGTCTGGAGCTGTGGGGTCTGGAGCTGTGGGGTCTGGATCTGGGGGGGTCTGGAGCTGTGGGGTCTGGAGCTGTGGGGTCTGGATCTGGGGGGGTCTGGAGCTGTGGGGTCTGGAGCTGTGGGGTCTGGATCTGGGGGGGTCTGGATCTGGGGGGGTCTGGAGCTGTGGGGTCTGGAGCTGTGGGGTCTGGAGCTGTGGGGTCTGGATCTGGGGGGGTCTGGAGCTGTGGGGTCTGGATCTGGGGGGGTCTGGAGCTGCTCTACACCCTCTGTTATTCTTATTAGACCTATAATTAATTTTCAGTGATGTCTGGCGTTGCCCCCCCAGACCAGGTTCTGCTCCAGGTTTCTACCTGTTAACAGGAGTTCTCCTTGCCGGTGTGGCCCGGTGCTGCTCGTGGTTGAAACTGGGTCCAACTGGATCTGGACCTGCTCTCTAACCTCTGTCATCTCAATAAAACTGAACCTAAAAATCAGTTTGTTTACCTGATCTGACGTCACCTCTAAACCACCTCCTCCACCCGCGCGCACACCTGTACCTGCAGCCCGGTTCCGAGCTGACCTGCTGCTAAGCTAACGCAGAGTCGGTCTGTGACGTCGCTGTCCCCACCTTGAAGACGTCGCCGTACGTCCCGCTGCCGACCCGCTGGATCAGCTGGAAGTCCTCCTGCGGGTTCCTGCGGGAGATGTCCGGGCAGCAGCTCATCTTCCCGGCTGTTCAGACCGAAACGAGCCGGAGACTCCGACCCAGACGGACCCTCTGAGCCGGACTAGCAGACACACAACAGACGCCGTCAACACAACTTGCTTCTTCCGCGAACACGGCGCATGCGTACTGTGCATCGCAGGGAGGCTGGAGATGCCTTCAGGGGCAGTGGAACAAATGAGAATTTAAACCACATGAAGCATCAAACTGCGGGACACAGCGGCGGGAACAATAATCAGGAGATGATCCTACAGTTTTTAATTTCACACACCGATGGTTGATGAAGGATTTGCTTTCTTTCTTTGAAATAAGATTTCCATGGCTTCAGCACTTATTGATCATCTTAAATGTAGATTTTATAGTTTTTATTTAATAACATTGTGATTTTTTTTAACAAAGATTAATTTTACTTTCGGTTATTCTGTTAATTTATTTTGATAAGGTGATTAATTGTATTTAAAATGTCAGAAAGTAGTAAAAATGTTCATCACAGTTTCGTTTTCAAATGTCCAGTTTGTCTAAGAAACAGCTGACGGATGGAGATTTTATTTGATCCACCAGGGTCTGCAATGACTTTGCCTCCTTCTTCACAGACAAAATTCAAACAATTAGACAAGCAATCAGTGCCTCCATGCCAGTAACAGGATATGTCTTGTCCCTGTGTCCACTCAAAAACAATTCATATAGCATGAGACAATTTGATTCTATTAACCATAAAAACCTGGAGGACATAACATCTGAAATCCTCCTCATGCTGCCTTGATATTCAGCCAACAGGTTCTTTCAAATATGTGTCTAAATGCACGGCCTCAGATTTACTACAAATTGTCAACATGTTTCTCCTCTCAGGTTTTTTCCCACAGGCCCTGAAAACTGCAGTCATTAAGCCACTCTTAAAAAAGAGCAATCTAGACAGTTCACTAAAGAGCAATTATAGGCCCATATCAAATCATGTTTTTCAACAGCTTAGTGCTTTCTTGACACTAAATAACTGTTTTGATGTCTTCCAGTCAGGTTTTCGACCACACCACAGCACTAAGACGGCTCTTGTTAAGGTCTTCAATGACATCCATTTAAACACTGACAGTGGCAGAATTTCAGTCTTAGTATCATTGGATCTCAGTGCTGCATTCGACACGGTGGACCACAACATGTTACTAGACAGACTTGAAAACTGGGTTGGACTTTCTGGCACAGTACTAAAATGATTTGAATCCTACTTAAAGGACAGGGACTACTTTGTGTCTATAGGTAATCACACATCCCAGCTGACAAAAATGACGTGGAGTTCCCCAAGGCTCCATTCTGGGGCCTCTTTTGTTTAATATTTACATGCTTCCACTGGCTCAGATTATGAAAAACAACAAAATATGTTACCATAATTATGCATATGACACACAGATTTACATAACCATTTCACCAGGGGACTATGATTCCATACAGGCGCTGAGTAACTGTATTGAGCAGGTCGATGATTGGATGTGCCAGAATTTTCTTCACTTGAACAAAGATAAAACTGAAGTTCAAATCAAGCCAGAAATCTTGGTGTTGTCATGGACTCAGACCTGAATTTGCGGAGCCATATTAAGACAATTACAAAGTCAGCCTATCACCTGAAGAATATATCACAGATTAAAGAACTTATGTCTCAGCAGGACCTGGAAAAACGTATCCATGCATTTATCTTCAGTCGACTCGACTACTGTAACAGCGTCCTTACAGGCTCCCTAAGAAAACCATCAGACAGCTGCAGCTGATTCAGAACGCTGCTGCTCGAGTCCTCACTAAGACCAAAAAGGTGGATCACATCACTCCAGTTCTGAGGTCTTTACATTGGCTTCCTGTATGTCAAAGCACTGATTTCAAAATCCTGCTGTTAGTTTATAAAGCACTAAATGGTTTAGGGCCAAAATACATTTCTGATCTTCTGCTTCGTTATGAACCATCCAGACCTCTCAGGTCGTCTGGGATCAGGTCTGCTTTCTGTCCCCAGAGTCAAATCTAAACAAGGAGAAGCAGCGTTCAGTTATTATGCTCCGTATATCTGGAACAAACTCCCAGATAACTGCAGGTCTGCTGAAACTGTTCTTTTAAATTAAGACTGAAGACTTTTCTTTTTACCATTGCTTTTAATTAAATTTTACACAGTGAGAAATGAGTAGGTAATTGAGTGAAAAGATAATGAGAGTGAGATTGAACAGAGTGAAGGAAGTGGTCTTAAATCTCGCGCCTGAGTGATTTGCAGGAACCTCTGTCCACCTGTAAACAAGTGGGTCCAGAGTATAACTGGATCACAGCGGCCTGCGGACAGACATGTCCTGGTTTCTCTGTAGTGTCCGAGGGTTTTTGGAGTTTCAGTGGACCCAAAGATTGCTCTGGACCTGAGTGCAGACTAGCTAGAGAGAGTAGATTAAGTGTACTTCTCTGTTTATTCTCTTTTCAGAATAATTGTAACTCAATTATTTGCTCAACCCCTCAGCCTGTTTTTATTTTCCATTTAACTCTTTTAACCCTGATTGTACACTGCACTGTAACTTTTATTATTTTTTAAATGTGTGTTTTTTCAATTTCCCTATGCTGCTTTTAAACTTTTTTATATTTCCCTGTTGCCATTATGTTTTATGTAAAGCACTTTGAATTACCTTGTCGTTGAAATGTGCTATACAAATGAACTTGCCTTGATTGATGAGTAAACATTTTTTGTGAGACACAAAGTTATAAAACAAATAATAAACCAACATTAATATTTTGCGTGGTCGGTCACTTATTCTTTCCAGAAGACTCCAGCGCATAGGTGCCATTTACACTGGGCACGGTGGGGACCGCCCCCACACTTTTCAACACTAAGTGACCGCGGGAACACACCGAGAAACTCTACTGGCAGAAACGCTCCACGGTGCAGAGCTTTAAACCTGGAATCAAATTATGAAGGTTAATTATTATATTATTATTGTTGTTGTTGTTGTTGTTACAGGCTTTTATTTTACTTATTAGTAATCAGTGGCTGAGGACAGAGAGACATAGACACCAGAAGGAGAGAGAGAGTCCACGCCCAGCTCGCTGAGGAGGCTCGACACAGTCAAGTCAGCTGCGGTGATGGCACAACCACACTTCCGGTCTCTGATTTCAAAGTAAAACTCACTGATGAAACGTCAGGAATGTGAAGTTGACGTGAAGACCATGGACGGTGTAAAACGTGGACGTCACCTGCAGGGTTCTGAAGAGCCTTGTGAAGCTCAGTGTGGCGGGCGGCTACCGGCCGTGGACTAGTTTTTCTGCATCATTTTTAGACAGGATGTTCCTGATTTTCGCAATATTACGTCGGTGAAAAAAGGCGGTCCTTGAAATTTGCTTAATGTGGGACTTAAACGACATGTCCTGATCAAAGATAACTCCAAGCTTCCTCACAGTGGTGCTGGAGGCCAGGGCGATGCCATCAAGGGACAATAACTTCAGTTTTATCTGCCTTGAAACCAGAGTGAAGTAAAATAGCATGTTTTCATGTTGTTGGGTTCTGTGTCAACATGTCAATCTGTTCTGTTTGTGTTGGAAATGGAGTTATTTCTGAAGGGGAACTCTCTTATTCTGAAGGCCGCCTTGGTGGACTTCCGGTCCTGCGTGCGGTACCTGCCTCCGCCCTGACGCAGCCCCGTCAGTCGGCATGACAACACGGTCCCGGGAGCAGACGGGGAGCGGCTGACGTGCACGAGGATGGCAGCAGAAGATGCTCAGTAACGGAACCAGCGGCAGGAACCGAGAGAACAGCGGCACCGGGACCAGCACCGGCACCTGTCCCGGGAGCGACCCGGTCCATGTCCCGGCCATGGAGAGAGCCCGGCCGGCCACGGTGACGGTGTCCGCGGTGAGCCTCGCGCTCAGCGCGCTGTCCCTGCTGCTGCTGGTCACCGCCATCTCCACCGACCACTGGTACGAGACCGACACCCGCAGACACAAGGACAACTGCGACCGCCACGGGTCCGACTCCAACGACCAGAAGAACCGGGAGATGCCCATCTACCACCTCCCGCTGGTGGACACGAGCAGCGGCGGGGCTCGGCAGCGGGACGTGGCGCTGATGAAGCCCGTGCATGTGGGCAGCAGAGAGGAGGAGCTGCTGGAGAACTGGCGGGCCATCCTGGGGATGGGCATCCTGGAGACCGAGTGCGGCAGGCCGCTGTTCTCCACTCACTCCGGCCTCTGGAGGAAGTGCTACTTCAAGCGCCTGGACCCGGACATCGACAAGCTCATCGACCGGGGTCAGACTGCAGGACAGTACACAGTACATATATGTTTACAGTACATATAGTACAATATGCTGTACAGTATATACTGCATAATAATATATATAAACAGTACCATGCACAAATACAGGCTACAGTAAACATGTAAACAGAACTATAATGTAGTAAAAATATGTCCAGGTGATGCACTTATATAAACATCCTGTATATACTGGTTCTAAAAACATTATCAGTGTATTAATGTGCATCAGCAAGCTCGCCTTCATCGCTCAGACTGCGCGCACTCACACACAGTACATATACGTTGTATAATAACCACATGAATGTATTAATGAAGGTGGAGCGACAGAGGTCAGCGTGCATACTGATACACACTGTACACACAGTGTACTGCTGTTCTAACAGTACAGGTTCTGTGATCAGGTTCTGTGGGACTGAAGGTGGACACAGTGACATCATGGTGGATAATAATATTCTAACAGAAAGAAAAAGTACTGTATTATGTGCTGATACTGCAGTCTAAAGTACTGTTTATTGAAGGTGAAGCCTTGTTGTTGTTGTTGAGCTGTTGTTGAGCTGGAGATGAGAAACTCTGGCTTTCCTGTTTCAGAGACGGAGCTCACATAAACCCTGGATCAATAACTCCAGTAACCTGTGCTGTGAAGTTAACCTGCGCAGGTGTTCCTCTCTGACTCCTCCCCTCCCGCGAGCCACCGGGTCACTTCCTCATTCACTCGGTCGATATCAACAGATGCGTTCATCTGCAGAAGGTTACTGGAAACATTGAAATCCCTGTTACATATTAGTTTGTCACCCGAACACAAAGCTAATTAGCTGTAAGCTGTGTGAAGCTGTAACCGATCGCTGATCAATCAGCTGTCAGCTGCGACCAGTCACACTGATGGAACAGTCCTGTCACAGGGATCAGCTGAAACTGGTTCATATTTCTGTCTCCGCTGGACTCAAATGGAGGCTCCGCCTTTATTGATCCGTTGCCATGGTGAATCGTAGTATCAGCTTTTTTTCATCCTAAACTCAGTTTTACAGGTGGTGGTTCAGTACAGACAGGTGGTGGTTCAGTACAGACAGGTGGTGGTTCAGTACAGACAGGTGAGACAGGTGGTGGTTCAGTAC